GTTATTTTATAAATATATAATTATTTTAGATATCTATGTAAATTACCAAAAAAAGCCATAAATTTTGTTAAAGGATTATTGAAAATGGAGCCTGCTGAACGGTTAACATGCAAATAAGCACTTCGTCATTAATATTTCGAAGATTTACCAGAAGCAGTTGAATTTATTAGAGAATTAGAAATGTAAAATGATTAAGAAAAAAGATAAGTAAGTGCAGGTGTTCATCGAACTGCAGCATCACCTAATACATAATAGAATGTAATTAGAACTAAAGTATTGATTCATTATATAAAATAAATAGACTAGTTTCAAAGTACCTAATTATTTGGGAAATTAGTTGAACATGCAAAATACTGCTTATAATTATAATATATAAGGGTAGCAGCAACAAGAAAAGGATGGGAAATAAATGAAGAAAGCAGTAAAAAAATAATTTAAAATTTAGTAGTCAATAGAGAAATTGATTCCTGGATTTAAAGAATAAAAATTGAATATGAATTCAGAAACAAATAAGATGAAGGTATCAGGATAATCGCAATTTAGTCAACAATAATTATAAATGTAATAATCTATAAAGATTCAAAACTTAAACATAATTTATAATTCTAATACTTACAATTAATTTTAGAAGAAGGGAGCATTAACAAAAAAATGATTGAAAATTTATATATTTCACGAATATTTAAATGATCATAATTTTGGAACTCCCCAACTACAATAATGTTCAAGGAGTAGATTATCTGAATGCATTTTAATTTTAGCAAATCCCATATCACCCCAATATGTACCCCAAGAATTTCTGACAATCCAATACTCAATGCCATTTTCAACACCCCAACCAACAACAGATACAAAGTGATTGATAATAGTCTTCTTAGTTTTTTATGAGAAGATATATCCACCTTCATAATCATCTAATTCTTGTGTAGCATAAACTCCACAAACAATAGGACCCCTATTAAAGATTTCTATTTTCATATCCCTAGCAGTCTTAACATATCCAAATTCTGAGACATAGTATCTTTTAGCATTTTTAATAGATTCACAGCCATCTTCATTACATTGATGACATTAATCTTCATCTGAACATCTAACTCTTTTTCCATTGATTGCTTCATAAGTATGACAATGTTCTTCAGTTATTCCATTTAAATTAGCATGTTTAAATGTAGGTTAAGCCAATCCTCCTCCACAACTACCTCCAGACATACAATTTAACATTGATTAAACAGAAAGGATGACAACAGGATATTTATTACCTAATTTTATATTAATTCTATCAGATAGTGAAGAAGTGACTGCATGTGCCCAACATGATCCACAATATACAGGAATATGTTAATTTCTATTATTTGTTAAATAATTAATTCCGTCAACATTCCTCCAATCAAATTATGTTGGTACATCTTGTTTTAAATTCTTTATTGGTGTTATTATTAATTAATCTAATTATAAAAATTGAAGCATTTCTAAATAATAAGATGTACGTTAGATAACTTTTTTCTGTTCATTATTTTTGTTCAATTTAGTAGTATTTCTTATTCCTTATGTCCAAGTATCTAATACTTCACCATAACTGCAATCTTATATTTCATCTATAGGAATATCATATAAACTTGTATATTTTGGACCTAAAGTATTTTTCACAATCCAAAATGTAGATTATGAATTAGTTCTCCAACCAACAACTTCTACATAATGGTTAGTCTAACCAACTTGACAAGATACACTAATTTAAATATTTTATTTACGGTCCATTCATAATAATTTCTTACATTATTTCTATTTCTCCATGTAGAGTACCATATGATGATATTGTATATATGTAATAATTAGGTTATGCCCAACAACCTATATCTTCATTACAGTTCTTGCATAGAGCCATCTCATTACATTCTTCTTTTCTTGCTACATAATTTGTGCATGTTTCATCAGGTATCCAATTTTCTTTTATATATTAATATGCATTTAATGCAGAACCAGAAATACAACCATTTGATTTTGTATCACATGATATTAATACTTAAGGTGATAAGATTATCTCAGGAAATGCTGCATTTCTTTTTATCTTAATTCTATCACTTAATGCTCCTGTTACTGCAAATGCCCAACCTCCATTACAATATTGAGGAGAATTCTAATTTCTTGTGTATGTTAAGAAGTTCTTGCCATTTACATCTGCCCAACTGAAATTTTCAGATATTTTTAATGAATTACTTATTGCTATACCTAATAATAAGAGTTTGATCATTTATTTTAATTTATTTTTTAAACTTTTATTGACAGAATTTTATATAATTTAGGTTTATTTTTTTTTATTATATACATTTTATTATAAATATAATTATACATGTATTTTGATGAAATTAATGCTGATTAACATTTAATTCTTGAAGGCATTATCAAAGAATATTAACCTTAGAAATTAAATGATTATGAACAATTAAATGACATTGAAGAATTATTAAAAGGATAACCAAATCAAGAATTATAATAATAGAGATAACCTAAAATTTCAATTCAACCAGAAATATAAGTTGAAAATCACTATACAAATGATAATGAAGAACTTTATAAATTATTATTACATCAATTCACATTAGGGGAATATCCTGTCAGTAATAGAGAAAGTATTAAATAAACTGAGCAAATTAAACATATTCCATATATTTTAGATTACGTGGATTAATTAGAAAAAGAACCTTACCAAGTCACACAAAAATAAAATGAAGATTCTGATTTAATATAACATTATGAGAATTAGAAACAAGCTAATAATACTTTCTAAGAAGTTAAAATGGATCGTAAAATTAAAGATCACTATTCCTAAATCTCCTAAAATGATTTTAGAATTAAATGTATTACTTGTTTTAGCACAACAATTGCAATTGGAACCACAAAAGGTTATATTTATTTGATAAATGATAAAATAATAAAATTAGAATCAGACCCCAGTATTACTACTTGTCCTATTATAAGTTTAAGATTTAATGAGGATGGACAATTTCTAGTTGCTATCTCATAATAATAAATTCTATTATACAATAAGAATAAATTTTGTAAATCATTTCAAAAAATGACTGAAGGCATACCAATTACTATGAATATGTTAATTGGAAACAAAGATTTTGTATGCTAATTCTTAATTTGTGATTCTCTTGGCAAAGTTAATTTAATGAAAATTAGAAAAAATTTATTTACTTATGGAATAGAAAAGAATCCACTTTTAAATGATAATACTTTTGGAATTTGTCATTGTTGTGAATCTATGAAAAATAAAGATGTTTAAACAGTTTTATTTGTGTGTAAAGCTACAGTTTTAATTGCAATTGTTGAACCAAAAATATTTTTAGTTTTCAAAAAATCTTATGAAGTTAAAAAACGTTAATTATTATGTGCAAAATGGTAAATTGAAAGTGAATATCCTGTTTTAGCTGTTAGTTATGGTAAAGAAATTGAAATTTTAAAAATGAATTATGAAAATAAAGATGGAAAATTTATTACTAATTTTGAAGTTGTTTATACTTATACTTTAAATGAAGATATTTAATTCTTAACTTGGATGAGTGATAATATCTTATTTTTAAAGAATGATCGTAAAAAATATTCTTTGGTTGCTATTTCAGAAATTGCTGATAACAATGTATTAGTTGTTTAATCACAATTATCTCAAGATGTTGCTGACTAATAAATAGGAGATGATAAAATTTAATCATTTTAGAATACAATATGTTAAAATCATAATCAATTATATTATATTTAAATTGAAGAAAATGGACATCAAAAATAGAATATCGTTCATTATCAATTAATTACTTGGTAAGATTATATTGAATAATTAACATCAAATCATAAATGGACAGAATGTATGGGTTTATGTTTATATTTATATTTGGGAAAATAATTAAAATTTGCTGGTTTACCTAGAAATGGTAGATAAGAATTCTTAAGACCTTATTTTAATGAAAGACTTAAACAATTTGTTGAGATTAGTATTTCTCATTAAACTATCAATGCTCTTATTCCAACCATTATTGAATTTATGGTTACAATTGAATCATATGAATATTTATTTAGAGAAATCAAATCCCTTCTTTAAAATCATAATTTAGAATTGCAATTTTACAATTGTTTAGAACCATTTATATTAAAGAATAATATCAAATTTATTCCTGATGATTCTTTGAAAGATATTATGATATATTTAATTAATTAAAAGAGTAAATTAAATATTTTGAAATAGCTAATTATTAATTTAGATATAAAATTATTAGATCCAATAATAATTTAATAATTATGTATAGAGAATAATTTATTTACTCTCTTAATTTATATTTCTCCGAGAGTTGATGAAGATTATAAAACTCCCTTATTTAAAATGTATGCAGTATTTAGATAATTGAGTAAGGGTGATTAATTATCACTAGAGAGATATTTCAAATCTATATAAATGGAAATGACTAATAATCAATAGATGATAGATAAAGAAATATAATTGTTAGGCTATAAATGTTTATGGAATCTTCATATGTTATTGATAGGAGAATTATTTCCTTAATAGAAAATCCCAGAAAGCCAATGGGCTTTAATAATGGCTGAAATTTTGTCTTGGCTACTATAATATGATACTTTGGAGGAATTTCTTAAAATTGATACTCCTATTTTTTTAAATGAATTATTAATTATATTTACAAATAAGGAAAAATATGAATAACTTAATACACTTAAAACCATTATTGCAGGAGAATAACTAAAAGTAGATGATTTAACATTATCTGAAATTATTATTTTATTATTAGAATCATCATCATAGAAGTTAAACATTTTAAATTAATTAAGCACTTTTGTTTATGAAATTATGAAATTAGGATATAAGATTAAATATGAACACTTTATAAATGTTCTATAGTGTCATTTTAAGGATCCTCATGTGACATTATAAACATTAGTTGAAAAAAGTAATCTAAAATTTCAAAATCTTGAATATAAGTAATAAGATTTTAATATCTTAAATAAAAATTCTAGAGATTCTGTTTTTATTGATTATATTAATAAATTTAAAGATAGATTAATAAATGATCAAGAAACAGTCTCAATGTTAATACAGGAATCAACTTGTTCTGAAGTGTAATCAATCAGAGTAAAATCCTAGTTATATTTTATAAAAGATTAATGGTAATTTTGTTTGTAAAGTTTATTGACTTCAAATTATGAAGAAGATAAAGTAAATATATATAATTTATATAGATATTCATATTTGATTATATTGAATAGATGATAAATATAGGTTAATATTCTTAAGTTAGAAATGAAATTTTATAATATGTATTAAGCATAGTTCCATAATTGGTAAGTATAAATAATGATTATTGTTTAGGTAAGTATTTGTGCAGAAAAGTTAAGATAAACACTTTAATATTATAATGAAGAGGATTATAAGACAGCCATAGAAATGTTAGACAGTCATCCAAATTTAAAATTGAAATTGCTATCAGAGATTATTTAAGAGAAGAGAAATAATAAGTAATTGGTTGAAGATAAATTAATGATTTCCTTCTTTAAATTAATATGTTAATATCATCCAAATGATGCATATGAATAATTGCAACATGGAGATTTTCCTTAAGATGAATGCTTAAAGTTATGTTAGGAATATCAAATAATGAAAGGAGAAGCATTTCTTAAGGAAAGAAGTGGTCGTTATATGGAAGCTTTGAATTAATATTTTGATGTAATTTTATAATTCCAAATATTATTAGATAATTAGTATTGAATTAAAAAAGATGCAAGTTATTGAATATGATCATTAAAGTTAAATAGAATAGATTTAAATTTTAATATTGCCATGTTTAAAAATCTGTAGAGATAATCATTCGAATGAAGAAGATAGTACAAGTTATTGGTTTACTCTTGTTATTCGTATGGTTTAGTTGAGGGAGGAATTTAAATATAATAAGAATATATTTAAATCTTTGAATAATGTGTATTAGGTGATGCTGGAGGAATTGTTGGAAAGAGTTCATCTTTACTAAATAATTATAAATATAAAAATATTATTTGGATCTTTTACTCATTTAGAGGAATTAAGAAGAACATTTAGTATGTTATTGTCTAGTTGTTCTTTTGAACTTTATAATTAACAATAATTAATTAAAGTCTTATAACTGGATTATATGAAAAATTTAATGAGTTTGTACGAGTTATAATAGATTGGAGTCAATTTTAGTCCATAATGTTAAACTTGTTTTGAAATTCGAAATTAATCTATATTAGCTTTTATGGGATGCAGTCATCTTTATCATCATGGTTGTGCACCAAAAATTCAAAATATGATTGTTTGTGAATAATGTTTGAATGTAAATTCTTATAAATGTATATATATAAATTAGAATAGTGAGAATATAATTAGATTCCATAGTTTAAAAAAATGGAAGATAAATGCCAACTATAAAAATGAAGGTTTAAGAGTAAAAAGAGGATGAAGAAATGACAAAGGAAGAGATTCGAATGAATCGTATAAATAAATGGAAAAGACATGATATTGAAAATGAAATTAGCGAATAATAATATTACTGAGTTTGTATTTATTAAAAATAATTAAATTTAAACAAAAAAAATTTAAAGATAATCTTAATATAAATATGTTTCTTTCGATCTTTATTATTTTCAAGACTTTTAAAATACACATTGTATCTTATATAAAATTTTTATAATTTTGGATAATGAAAGATTTCAGTTGAATTTATTCAATTTTAAATTGGTTTATTAACTTTCTTATACTCAAGAAACGATGAGTCTATTAAAAAATATTAGGATTTCTAAATTGGAATATAGTATTAGAAATCTACTTAAATCTTTTTATTAAGATTAAAGGATCTTTAGTGAGACTATATTATAATTAGTACACTTAATAATAACATTATATTGTTGGGTTGAGATAATGATAAATTAATCATTTTTATTCTAATAAAGGAATATAAATTATGATTATGAGATTTTATTATTTGAAAAGTTGTATTAAATATTGATTTAAAATGATGTTAAGATAAGGTATTGTGGGCTGTGATAATATATATGAAAAGATTAAGCTAGGTTAGTATATTTTGGAGTGAAAAAATGATATAATTATAAGAGGATTTGATTTAGAAAATATTTTTATTATTATTTGATATGGGTTGTTAAAGTTCTAAGGTTGATGAAGAAATGATTAAAAGTAGAAATAGAGAAAGTGAAGGTAATCAATAGAAAAAAGGAGAGAAATAATAAAAATAGTCAGATCATAATCAAGTGGATGGATATTTTAGAGAAGAGACGAATAAGAAAGAGAAGATGTTAACATTACCTAGAGAGGATAGATAATTTTAAGAAGATGGGCATAATTTGGATAAAAACAAAGAAAAGAAAAAATCTAATAAACCAACGAAAGCTGCTTTTTGATATTATTATGTTATTGAATATGTATCAATGATGACTTTACAAATTCCAAATATTTGGTTCTTCAATTGCATCATATTTATGATATTCATGTTCAGTAATGATTCCACTATGTTTAATAAGAACAGTCTTTTTAGGAGCCCCAGATAATCCACCTAATAAAAAGTATAAAAAGTACGATTACCTAATTTTTCAATAGCTCTGACATGTTAAAATCCATATATAACTTCTCCAAAAGCAACTGATTTTCTATCTAACCATTCAGCAGGACCTAAAGTAATTATGAATCCAGCATCATTGCTATTGATTTTAGGATTTGAAGTTGTGAGTAATCCTGCTCTATCATGTTTGATTCTATAATTTTCATCAGGGAAAGTTCTTCCATAGATAGATCCTCCTAATGTACCACCCCATAATCCTCTAAATGGTAAAATCTTATTTATTTATGAACCTTCATAATGAAGTTTCTTGCCATCTACTTAAACTCCTTAAGCAATTCTCAAAAAGTTTGTTGCTGTCTTTGGTGCTACATTATCAAAGAGCTATATTATTAATCAAATATATATATACTTAAAAAACTATTCTGCCTAAAGGATTACCACCTACATCAATATCAAAAAATACTCTTGTTAGTGGATTTGGATGAGCAGGTGGAACTGAAATGGGGAATATTCGTCCAATTCTAAACATATGTATAATAATAATTAAATAGTTTATCAAATGTAATTCATTTATATACATTTTATCACTTTTTGGTAAATATTTACTTAAGCATATCCTCTAAAGTTATTATATAATTAATATAACCCTAACAATATTATATTAATTATTACTCTAAGTTCTTTATCTTCCTTAAATAAAAGGGGACAAGATTCATTAGCTTTTAATTTTACATTCTTTTAACTGATCAAAGAAGAAGCATTCTCTGATACTACAGCAATATTTAATCTAATTATTAACACATTTGAATGAACAAAGAACTAAGTCTAACCAAATCTAAAGATAGCATCCATTCCTTCTAATTTATTTGATTTAATTGGGAACACCTATTAAAATATTAAAATTAAATATTTACAGAATTTTAATGAACTTCATTTATTTCTACATAATAGAATCTAAATTTATCTAATTCATTTTCTAATATCAAATCTCCAATTTTTAAAAGAATCTTTTTCAACAATGCCCATTCACTTAATATACTTGTTGAAGTAGATAATTTACATCCTAAAATAATTTAAATATTATTATTTACTTTTTCCAGTAGTTTATTAAAGAATTCTTGTTAATTTGAATAGAATAATTTCAGTAAATGACAATACATTGAATGTGAATTTGATTATATGATTTAGTTGTATTTGAACTGACCTGAACAAATATTCTATCATATATAAAGGATGTGCTTCTGGAGAATGTACAAATTTATATTCTTCTGTAAATCCTTTTTCTCTTTTTACTTTGCTTCTTATTAATGGCCAAGATACTATTTATGGAGCGACATCTCTTAGATTTTACAATTCCTCTTCACTTGGTGATTGAGTGAGGAAATCATCCAATGATTAAGCATAGGAATTCAAATCATACTAAAATTTAAAATCATTCTTACACAAGCTTATTGAATGATAGATAATTGATCATATTTCTAATTGAATTATTCATCTGTCATTACATCAGGAATATATTAATAAACCTATAAATTAACAATTGGGAATAATTCTGGGAATGATTAATCGACCTAAATACTCTATTTGTATTAAGTATTTCTTTATCTTGGTTAATAATTACTATAAGGAACAGCTAAACATATAATTTGATAATTTACGATATAGTTTATCCTAATATTTCAATTTGATGTCTGGTCTGATTCTGGAACTATACAATACCCAATTTTAATTACAAATTGATACTTATACTTCTGTATCATTACTTTCTGTTTATACTATCCCATCTCTTAATTCTTTGAGTATCTTAAGAGAGTTTGCATCTTCATTTTCTTATAATAAATTATTATAAATGTCTAGACTTTGAATAGTTTGATCTAAATAAAAATTATTGCAATAATGTAATTCCCTATATTCTCTGAAATTTTCCTTAGTCAATTTACTTTTTAATTAAATATAATCAATATTATCTGATCCACTTAATTGAGCCACTTTGAATTCTGGATAGGAACATAGATTATTTATATGAAGTATGTAATTATCATAATAAATAGATTCTATAGTTTTAACTACTTCTTCAATATATCTTAATTATAATTATGCCACAGGATATGGATTATTTGGAATGGTGCTTTTCTATATATTATAGGTGATTTCAAAAAAGAAGTGATGTTATTAATCAATGCCATCAAGCATACTATCATCAGCTTCTTTTTTGTATTCATAGACAATAGGTTCTAATTTATTAGATACTTTGAATTTAAAGCTAAATTAAGTATTTATTGTGAATTGAGGATTTACGAGTTTCTCATCTTTATAATATGACATAGTAGTAATGTTTGGATTAACCTTTTATCTTGCAAATTCAACATCACTTTCAAATTTATCAATTTAATTGAGTATTTATTTACAATAGTTAAGAATACAAATGACATTAATCCATTTATCATTTGTAAATGATCCTTGATTTTAATTTGTTCTACTATTATCAAAGAATTTTTATAAGAAATCTGCACTCAATTATTTTTTCTCTGTTTATATACAGAATTTCTATAATTCTACTTATAATTTCTAATCTTTTTCTAATGTATGAGATACAACAGATTTCTTATATCTTGATAAACATCTATAAGCAGGACAATCTAATAATTTATCAATATAGGTTTAATATCCATCAAAAGGAGTTTAAAGAACAGATGAAATTAAAACTTAATAAACTTCACTTTATTCAGCATGTCTTTTATTTTCATTTTAAGTTAAAACATCTTTAATATGTTTAATGTCTTCAATTTATTATTATTTTAATTCTTTAGCCTTTAATTCGACTTATTCAATAAATTAAAGATTAAATGGTTCTTTGAATCCATCTTTTAATAATCTAGCTTTTCTGACTGGATCAATTTCTAGTGGAATAGATTATGGACTAACTGATTCATAAAAAATTAAATATCTTTGAATTAATCTGAAAGTCTCTTCATTAGTCGTAGCAAATAATAGTAATTGTAAAAAGATTTGGAATCTGAATTAATAATTACATTCATTAATAATAGCTTTTCTTAAACTTTTTTCAGATTCTACAAATTTTTATTCTTTGGATCCCTTTTACTTCTTTCTTCTCTACATAATTTTTTTAGTTTTCTTAACTTTAGGTTTTTATTCCACAGATGCTTATTAAACAAGAGGTTAAACTCTTGCTTAAGCAATTTTTGGTTAATCTTCAACTCCACGAGTTCTAGGTGCACCATCATCTTATTATTATTATTATTCTTCATTTGGTCCTTCATCTGCTTATTATACACTAACCAATCCATTATTTGCTGGTTATTTTTCTTATGTTTCTTATTAAGGTGGTTCTTATGCTTCATCTAATTTATCTTATTAATTATCTTCTTAATCTTCTTCATCATCTGTTACTTCAACTTCATATTCTTCATATTCACTCTCCTCTTATTCAACTTATTTTAATTCTTCTTATTCTTCTCCTTCTCCTTAATCAATCTATACTACAAATTCTTTTATTGATTAGAAATATATATCTAATGCTTATTCTATTTATTTTGGTTCTAATAAAAGTGTTGATTTCATAAAAATTAAACCTAATTCAAATTCTTAAAACAATCCATTAAATTTAAATTCTTCTTTCTTCAATTTCTCTTCATACCAAAACATAGGAAAATTCAATATATAATAATACATCTCATGATCATTGTATATTAATTTTTATAAATTCTACTTAAAATCTACTTTATCTATTAAAAATTCTTATTATTTATTTGGTATCAATAATTTACTTAATAACTATCCAAATTCAGGATCATTTACTATTTAATTATCTAATCTTTAAGGATTTCTAGGTTATAAATGTTCGACATATTAATCAATTGTAAAAGTAGGTCTCTTTACTGGTGTTCTACGAATATCATCATTTGATATTTAATTATCACCATCTGGTTAATAAATTGAAGGGAAACAGAATTTCACTCCTCTCTCTATACCATTTACTTTTAATCTAGTTAATTCATATTGTAAAATCTATTTAGCTCTCTTTCCTTTATAAGAACTTTAAAATCTTTTATAAGAACCATTTGTATCTCTCTCATATCTTCCTGTATTTTTATTTTACCAAAATGGAGCTTAATGTTCAGATAATAATAAATATTCTTTAATTATATTTAAACATGGACTTATGATATTATTAGCATTTTCTGTAATAAATCCAATCATAAGTTCACTTTCTAACGTATTTGATTTTTCATCCGAATTATAATGATTCAATCTCAAATATCTTAACATTCTCACACAATTACTTATATAATTATATCCCTATTATTCAAATTGAATTGCTAATTGTAAAAGTTACTCATTTGTTTACAGCATGAATCTAATTGAAGGTTATGGTTCAATACTTTTTACTTTTATTCTTAGCCTATGTAAAGTATCAAAATATTCATAAAAACTAAAATGAGCAGCAATCTAAGCAATTGAATATTCTTTTATATCTTCTTTTTCTTATCCATCAGGTAATTATTCTCCTTCTCCATCATCATTCTATGCTCTTGCCTAAACTGTCTCTATTTGAGCATCTCCTTTCTCATTATCACTAACTTTCTCACTTGCTTATTTCTTTACTTATTCAAATTAATCAGAATGTTACTTCAACATTTAAATCAATAAATCTTCCTTACCTTTCAATATTTATTTAAACAAAATATCATTTATTAATCTAGTATATGTTCTAAATCTCTTATAAAATATTAGGCCTTCAAATAATCTCCTATTAAATTAACCTAATAATTCTTCTCTATAAGTTTTCTCATATGGTAATTTAAATAATTCTGTTACAATCTCTTCACATTAAGCATCTGTATAATTACCAAAATATTTTGTTAAATCATTTGTGGATAATACTTCATCTAATTTTTTCTTTTTGAATGATGCAATAATATCTTTATAATTAGTTCTAGAATTTGTTTTCTTAATTTCCTCATTATTTTTAATATATTTAGCAGCAAATGTTTACAATGCTTTATCTTTAATTTATCTAGTTTTGATAAGTTTAGCTATATCAACTAATTATTCCTCAAATAAAGATTTTATATCCAATTAATCAAATCTTTATAATACTTCACTTGCTAATTTAAATATTAAAACTTTTTAATCATTTACCATATCTGGCTTTAAATATTTCATAATTCTTTTGATTTCTGATAAGATTTTATTTTTAAAACTTTCAATATCTTCCTCATTTGATAATAATTTGATATTAACTGATTTAATAATTCTATTAATTTATTGTAAATAAATGTTGGCATTTTTAATTTAGTAATGTTATGCCATAACTTCTTTTTTAGGATCAATGACTCTATAAATTAAATTAAGGAATATATTGTTTTTTTCAATAGGAGTTAATTTACTTGAAGCTACTTAGAATAAAAGTTAATCCATATTTTGAATTCCATAAATCATCAAGACTTCTAAAGTTGTTTAAAACTCTTCCAAAGTATTACAAATTGGCATTCCATATCTTTAGTATTGTTTAAGTAATTAATTTAAGACTTTCTTATATGATTGTTAACCAGTTCCTTAATCATATTATGTGAATACAGATCTTAGATTTTATCTTTACAATGAAGATTTCCAATTTTTCAAATATCTAAACATTAATATATCTTTTTCAAAATTAGACTCAAATTTTTTGATGTCTAATTTTTCACATTTAGGTAAATGAGTTCTGAAAAAGTCATCAAATTCTAATTAAATAGCTTGATTCATTTCAAGTAATTATGATTAGATAGAAACTGGAGTTCTTATTTAATCTAAAGCTTCAGGAAATTTCGGAATATCTAATTTATGTTTTTCTTTCTTTTCTTTAATAGCAGTTTTAAAGAAATAAACAGATGGATCATAACATCTAACAGAAAAATCAAATATTGCTTCTAAATACTTATCTTCACTTTCTTAAACAGATTCTCTTTTCTTTTATTAACTTTATTATAATTATTATTTCTTTTATTCTGGTTTGCTTTCTATAGAAGCTATTTATGGACCACCACCATCTCCATCATCTGGTTTATTATTATCATTTTAAACATTCTCTTCTTGTGGATCTTCTTCTGAATTTTTTGGTGCTTCTTTCTTTTTAGGTTTTGCTAATTATAAATACCCATAAAAGTTAAAAATTTACATATTAGCAACTTTTGAAACTAGATGGATAGTTTATCTAATAATTTGAGAATCTTTAACATATGGTAATAGTTATTCTAATTTTTCATGTTGACCACTAAATGCAACTGATCTTAAAGTATTTTCTATATCAATATATTGAATATTATCTTTAATAGCAGCAATGAATCTTCTCACATCCAATATTGATGCCCAATTTTTACCTTAAGCTTAAATATAAGGATATATCTTATTCTAATTTGGATAAGTTCTTTTTTAATTTGGAATATCAAGATCAATCAAAGTATGAATTTATTACATACACATATTCTATCTAAAAAAATCCATATAATATTATTTCCATCTTAAATGTATCTTTGGATCATCATTTCTAATCCATAAAGCTACCTATTATTAAGTAATTCCAACAGATTTTCTTGTTTAAAATGAATTAAGTATAACTTCATGAATCTTTTTGCAAAATAAATCAAAACTATTACATGCTAAAGGTAATATTTTTTCAGCTTTATAAGTTAACAATAATTATTCAACCTACTTTTTATCAAATTCGTTTTTATATATTCCTTCTGTATCATTGAATATTGCATTCGTACTAACAATTAATTCAAATTTTTAACGCATAATAATTTTTTAAGTTTCCATATTTTCTTCATTTTCTGGCTGTTTTGCAAGTACTAATCTTATAAAATCTTTTAAAGATTCCTTATCCTTACAATTGTATAAGGCTTCAGCTAAATTTTCGACATTCAATTTATCTAAACCTTAAACTGGTATTTCAATCAATAATATATTAAATTTTATGGCATTAAATAATTCAAGAATAGTTTTTGGTTATGCTTTATATTAATATGATAATGGATAATATGAAGATGTTATATTTGTTGGCATTGGTTAAACTAATAGTTCTATATATTATTAAGTAAATTCTCTTAAATATGTTAATAATTAAGTAGCTACTTATTCGAGTTTTTAGGATCTTAAATTTCTTATTTCCATAAGCATCAATGTCCAAATTTGAATTGTATATAATATCTATTTACATGTATCTGATTCTAAATCTGAAGGATCATATGTTTGATTTTATTTAACTTCATCATACATTTGTTAAAGGATTGCATATAACTTTTACTACTATTTATGTTTAATAAGTTGTCTATATGGTAAATTAATATATCTAATCTTTTTTAATTCTTCCAAAGATGGAATCCATTTAATAAATCTAAATAAATCATCAAATTATTAGAATAAAGTTTCAGGTAATTTACCAATTATTTATGAAATAACTAATTAATTCTAACTATTCCAAACAAATGATGATTTTTATTTCTCCTATTCTTATTATTCTTATTATTCTTATTATTCTTATCCTTCTTATTATTATTGATTTTCCTCTTCATCAATATTGGGAGTTAAGATTTGACAAATGAATAAAGATGTTCCTATTTCCCTTTAAACTCGATCTAATTTCTTTTTGCATTTTGATCTCAATAATTCTAAGTATAATCCTAATGGAGTAAAATCTCCAGCTCTTAATTTCTGAGCTTTTAATGTTTCAAAATTAGATTCTTAAGATTGGTTGACTAATAATTATATATTTCTTAAAAGATCTAATAAATCAACTTAATTTAAATCTGGATTTAAAATTAAACAATGGATCAAATTTTTTTTATATTCTTTTTATTCTTTCACCCAACTAAATGCATTTCTTCTTATTTCATTTTCTTTTCTTTTTTAATATAAATCATCTTCTATAGTTTCTTCATTTTCTTATTTTTATTTTGTTCCTCCATCGCCACCATCATTTCCATCATTTCCTCCATCTCCATTATCATCTTTTTTATCTTCTTTTTTTGGAACTCTACTTTCAAATAATTCAGAATTAGGATCAAATTTACTGAAAACATTTTTTAATTAATCAGGATAAGCAGCAAAAAGTGATTTGATAACATCAAAAGGTGCTGTTTCCATCATTCTAGCAAATGGAGTATTTCCTTATTCATCAGCTACAAAGAACCATTCAGGATAGTTTTCAAACATAATATGACTTTTATTCCACTTTTATCTTCTTACTACTTCATGCATAATATTTTATCCAATTGATTTTAATTAAAGAGAATCTGATTTATCATCTAAATCCTAATCTTTTGGAAAACATGGAATTTCAAAATAAATTGATTTCTTAGCCTCTACATGTGCTTTCTTTAAAGCTCTTGTAAATTTAGTATTAATTTAAAATTTTTCTATCATTTTATTTAATTTACTTAATACCATAACATGTTCGTAATTTTTAGGATCAAAATCTAAATATAGAAATATAAAATAATACTTTATAAAAAGGGTGGAGTATTAGATAATATATTTTCAGAAGCATAAGAATAATTTTATATTAACAATGCAACTTCAGGTTTCTTTTCTAATGCTTTAATAAATTGAATAACTGATTTTAGATTAGTATTTTTTCTTAAATGTTAACCAATATTTTAAAATATATTATTTGAAAAGCTTTCTAAATTAATATCTTCTTCTCCAACAATTTTTAATTCTTACATAGCTTCTAATACACCTGGTAGATCATCAGTAACAAGTAAAAAATCCATTAAACAATCTCCAAATTCTGAACATTCACTTAATAATAATTAATTAGCAGTACAACCCATAGTACATAAAGCTTCTTCAATAACTTTTCTTGTTAATCTACCTTATCTACTAAGATTTCTAATATTAATTTAAACTTCAGTAAATGTTCCATTTTTATCTAATTCTCTAATCAATGCCATAGAAGCATCAGCATGTTATTTTCTCATTTATCTAGATGTAGGTCTAGATCTTCCATAATTATCTGGATCTGTATATTTAGTTTCATAAATAACAAGTAATTATCCGCATTCATCAGTAACTACTTCAATAGTACATTCAGCGACAATCTCTTAAGTAACTTTATCAATCTTTTCAATTACAAATTTATTATTTTCATCTACATACCATCTATATTCTTATCCTGACATTGAAGCATCAATAATTCTATGTCTTGCTTTCTCTTCTTCTGTTTTTGGTGATCCTGGAATTCCAGAATGCTTATCTTAATATTTTATCAAATATTTATACTTAATGGAATCTTTTCATGACCAAGTTAAATTAATTAGAATTAAACATTACCAATATATGACTTTGTCTATTTCATTGTTTTAAACATCTCTTTTTCAATTTAAGTTTCACAAATTATCTTAGATTTAAAATCAAGAATTTCTCTTGCATTTTAATAATCATTATTTGATATATCAAATTAACCAACATATTTCTAATATTTTTAATAAATCACTTACTTCATCATTATTTTTTATTTTCCATAAAATGATATCAACTGGTTCATAAGCATTTCTAGTATATACAAAATCTAATAAATCTTATTAAGCAGCATCGAATTCTTTTGGAGTAGTTTTCATTAAGCTTTTTTTACGATAAAGAGCTTCCCAACAAAACAATGATGGAATCTTATTTATATTAATGTATTTTATACCTTTTCATTTTTTTAATTATACTCATTAAAAAATTTCAGTTTTTGGATACGCAATACACATAATACAGTATTATTATTAAGTTTTGGTTCTATTGATCCAAATAACAATTAAGTTTATGTTTTCTTGAATTGTCCATTTGTTAATTAATTTAATGACTTCAAATATACTTATAATTTAGGTCCTTATAATTATTATTATTGCTCTCCACTAGGTCCCTTTCCTGTACCAGGTTTCACTAATTCAGGAGTAGCATCTAAACTATCTAATGGTTTTAGTTTTTTCAAGCTTCTAGCAATCTCTGTGTTTTTGCCTACTACAACTTATGGTTTAATATTCATTGATTATGATATTAACGATTATGGGAATACTACAGTATCATTCTGTCCTTCCTTACTATCAAATAAATTATGTCTCTTACACTGGTAAACTCACTAATGAGTATATCATAGAGGAATTTTAATCCTTTGGAACATTGGCTGTCTTAGGCAAAGGTTTCAACTCTCCAATTGACTAAATTTATCAATTCTTTTATTTACTTTTGTCACATTTGCCTTTTGAGCCTTCTGCTCCTTAATAGATTCCGAATAGAGGAATTAAGACGGCTTCATTTGATAAACAGTTTTATTTTTTAATATAAAAATTAAAATCTTTATTCATGTGCTCTGAGCTATAAGAATAGGAATTAAAAAAATTACATAGAAATTATTTTAATATATTCATATCATTATTTTATAACCTTCCTATAATAATCATATTTTAAATCTATTTATAAACCTTCATTTTCTATCTTTCATTATTCATCAATATTCTCAATATTTACATTATAATTCAAAATTCATATAATAAGATTTATTCATTTTAGTCAAAATTGTTATCATAAACATAGTTTTTAATAATATATTATTTATTAAATGCAATAATAAAAAGTGTTCTTTGGAAACTAGTAGAGTGTATACCTTTCTTAAATGTGCTTCTAAGGTACAAAATATAGATTATATTCAACATCTGAATACAATTATGTTGTAAAACTATATGATAATGGATAAGAAAAGGTAATCACTTTAATTATGAATTCTAATTTAGTATTTGAATACTGAGTTACAAGCTGTTCATATTTTTAAAGATTATGGAAATAGTAACATAGCAAAAGCATTTGAAGGAGATCTATAATAAAACATTAAAGTAATAGTTTTTGAAAAAGCTGAAGTCCTCCAAAACATTTTGAAGGATTCTTAAAAAGGTTTAGAGGAACCTCAAGTCCTAAAAGTAAGCAGAAAAATTAGTGTAGATCTTATTAGATTTGAGTAAAGGATTAAAAAAATGTCATAGCTTAGGAATTACTCATCGTGATATTAGACCTGAAAATATATTGATTGGATTAGACAAATAAGCTAAATTATGGAATTTTTAACGTTGCTTTTTTTAAGTACTAAATTATTTTAATTTAGTAATATGATCATTTGCCAAATGAATATATTTCTTAAATTAAAGAAGAAATTGATGCACATACATTTGAACATGTTAGAGCACCTGAATAAAAGGATTTCTCTTAAAGATGGCCAATTACTAAAAAAGTTGATATTTATGCTTTAGGATAGTTAATGTATTATATCCTATTTAAAGTACGCTATGATTAAAATCCTCGTTGGGAAAAAAAGTATCAATTTTATTATATAAGTCCGAAATGGGGTCTCTATAGTAATAAATTGTAGGATCTAATTAAATTACTATTAATTCCTAATCCAAAAGATAGATTGAGTGCTGAATAAATTGAAGAATATATTCAAACTCATCTAATAAATTAAAAGTAAATTAATTTTTATAACTAGTATTATTTCTTCATAAATTCATATTAGAAGTTTATCAACTAATGAAAAAATGAATAGAGAAATATAAACTTAAAGAAATCAAAATGGTAAAAATAATTAATTAGAATTGATTAATTTTCAACATCCATCATCATCTTCCTTATCTACTAAATTTGTTAAATTAGTTAGTAAAGTAGCATAAAAAACAGATTATTGGGTTGCTGCATGTTTGGAAGAAGTTGATGCTGCTCCAAATTAAAAATATTTTAGATATCTTCATGTCAAAGCATGGTAAAAGAAAGCTAAAATTCCTAAGTTTTATGAAAAATTATCTAATAGATTACAATTGAATTCTGTGATAATTACTTTTAAGGCTCTATAATTGTTACATAATTACTTGAAAAAAGGTCCTTAAGAAGTTTATTTAGTCAATAATTAAAATTCATCTCCTCTTGCTATTTTAGAGAAAATTAAAAATTTTTAAGAAACATCTCTAGCCAAAACATCTAAAGATAAATTCAGATCTCAATTCTTTTCTAATTTGTTATATAGCTATTCTCTTATATTAATAGAAAAAGTCAAATTTCATCAATTTTATTTAAAATATTTTGAAGGTAATTTTGCTATGGTTCCATTCTTTAATAATATGAACTCTAAAGATAAATTAAAAATAAGCATTGCTATATTAAGTAATTTGATAAATTTGTGGAAACAATTTAATATATTCATAAATAGTTTTTAATTCTAAAAATAAATTCTCTTCAACTTATAATTAGGATTTGCAATTACTATGGCAGATGAATTATACAATATATTATGTACATGTACACACATATATTATGCATTAAAATAAAGTACTAATTACATAAGTGGTGTGCCTCCTTCTAATAATGATATCAAATAAATATTCATTTAATTACAAGATGATTATCAAACTAATTTTGTAAATACTACATTATTTTTTCAGTAATGTAAATAGATTCCTCAATTTTATTAAATAATTCCTGAACCTCCAAGAAGTGTTATAGAAAGTTTAAAAAAAGTACCATTTTTTTAGTCAAATAAAGGGGAATTCAATATTTATGATTATTTAAGTTATTCTACATCTATTGATGGTATTAAATTACCATAAAGTTATGGAGAAATAATGAGCACTTAAGTAATGGAATATGATGATGAAGTTGTAGAATTGGATCCAAGAAATGAAAAATTTGCTACACAATATCCAATTAAACCAGTTTTATCAGTGTAACCATTTAGTGAAAGAGTGAAAAAATTTAGTTTTGAAATGGAACCTATAGTTAATAATAATTCTTCAAATAATTCTATTTCTAATTCTAACATTCCATAATAATAATAATAATTATTAAAGTAACAATAATAATAAGTATAAGTATTAGAGGATATTCAATTTTTGAATTAATAATAATAAAGTTAAAATAAAAATACAGAATTCAAAAAGAAATAAATAAAATAATAAAAATAAGGATCTCATTCTTATCAAGGGTTAGAAATTTCAGATGATGATGAGGAATAACAAAATGAAGATGAGACAGAATAGTTTCCTAATAAACCAAATGAAAATTAATAAAATAACTCAAGAGCACCTTTAGCGAATTAAAATATTTAGTTAACAAAAGAATTATTAAATGATGAAGAATTTTTGAATTGGGGAGAAAAAAAGAATGGTTCATATAAATAAAATAGTATTAATATAAATTAGAGTTAAAGAATATAATCTGCAAATTCTTAGCCAATAAATAATAATTATTTTGATTAATTTAATCAAAAAAGTAAAAATGGTATGATTATTAATAATAATAATAATAATAATAATAACAATAATAACAATAATAATAATAATATTAATAATAATTATCATAATAATAATAATAATTAAAACAATAATAATAATAGTAATTATAATAATAATCAAAATAATAATAATAGTAATAATAATAATAATAATAAAATATCATAGTAAAAAGTAGATCTAAGTTTATAAATATAGTAAAGATAATAATAATAAAATAATTTTTAAGTAGTAGATTATTTTTAAAAGTAGGGAAAAAGTAAATAAATTTTCATCATATTTTAGACGTTTAAGAATGGATGATAAATCATGATCAATTAAAATTAGAAAGATTAATTGGAACTGGAAGTAGTTGTGAAGTTTATAAAGGATATTGGAAAGGAGGTGAAGTTGCTATAAAGAAGATGAAAATAAAGTCTTTAAGTGAAAATCATTTAAAAGAATTCAGAAGAGAAATATCTGCTTTTGTAACAATTCAGAAACATAACAATTTGGTTTAACTGATGGGAATATCTTAAAAGGAAGATGAATTATATATAGTAACTGAATTTTGTGCAGGTGGAACATTATTTGATTTATTGCATAGAAAGAAACACCTAGATATAACATGGTAGAATAGAATAAAAATAGCTTTACAAATAGCAGAAGGAATGTTACATTTACATAAATTGAATCCACCATTAATTCATCGAGATTTAAAAAGCTTAAAGTAAATTTAAGTTTTTATTAATTATAGTTTATTATTAGAATAAACTTATGATCATTCTAAAGTGAATATAAAGATAGCAGACTTTGGACTTGCAAGAGTTTAAGCAGATAATGGAGAAATAATGACAGGAGTATTAGGAACCTTTGTAACATATATATATTATCTAAAATTTTAGCATTGGATGGCTCCTGAAGTTTTTCAGAATGTACCTTATACTATAAAAGCAGATGTTTATTCATATGCAGTAATAAAGTATTTTATTTTTAGATAGTTTTATGGGAAATTTGTTGCAGAGAAACACCTTATAAATAGTTATCTACAAATCCTCCTGCAATAATGAAATTAGTAACTGTTGATAATGGAAGACCTGATCTAAATTTGTTATAATTAGGATGTCCTTAATTTTTAAGAGATTTAATGGTAAAATGTTGGGATTAAGATCCTAACAAAAGACCGTCATTTTAAGAAATAACTTAATACTTGCATGCATAATTATGATTTAGTTAATTAGTATGAATTTATTAATCTTTAAAAATTCATTATATTATACAGCAGCAACTGTCATCTTCTTCAAAAGGTGTATTATAAATCTTCCAATTTTCAACAACATAAGTTTTAACCAAATCATCTTTAAATTAAAGTTTCTTTTTCTCTTTCTACTATCTTTCTTATTTTTTAAGAATGGATTTGATATTATGATTACTCTTACAAACAACTATATTTGTATCATAAATTTGTTCTTAAGAATCTATGTGTAATAAAGAATTAGGTTTTAATGAATCAATAGCGTGAACTCTTGAATTTGTCATTCTATTATTATAAATTATTTATATAACTAACACTAAAACTTCTCAACTAAAATTTAATAATTACTCTTAAGAGAGATCAATTAATATCACAGAATGAAGATGAATAAACAAAAAAGTTAAGATAACTTATTATATTGTTATTAGTATTACTATAAATAAAAAAAGATTGAAAAATAAATGAAATGGTCAAATTACTTAATTTTATTATTAGAATAGCATCAATAATAATTATCATTAGCATTCATTTCTTTTTTTTAGCAATAGCACTATATGCTCTAAAAGCCTTTTTTGGAATACCAGTTAATGGTCTTGAGAAATCATAATATTTAATATGCTAATTCAATTTAATACCTTCTTCAGCTTTCTTTTAATCCTCAATTTTAAAATCTTTATCATAATCTTATTATAATTACTAAGTATTTCATTTAATTTGTCGGCATCTATATATTTTGTAAGTGGCTCTAAAGGATCTAAATTTTCAACAACAATCTTTCTAGAATTGAATTAAAACTCTACTCCTTTGAATTCTTGATTACGATCTAAAATAACTTAAGATGTTAATTATTATTGCATTAAATAAAATAATGGATTGGGCAATTATTAGATCAAAAATTGCAACTGATTATAAAAGATAATGCTCTGAATTTTCAAAACCTATAAATCAAGCAATAATCAGAACTTATTAAACTAAAGCAGATGATATTAATATAATTTTTAGAGGAAATTATAAGCTTAATTTCAATCAAAGAATGTTAGATTAAGATTTAATTTTATTACTTTCTTGTCTTTAGGATTATAAGGAACATATCAAACATATTGATCTATCATTTAATGAAATCACGAATGTAGGAGTTCAAGAATTATCCAAATTCTTACAAGGTACAAAATCTAAATTTATTTATAAGGATGTACTTCTTTGGAAAGTCTCAATTTATAAAGTAATAAAATTGGTGTTGAAGGTGGTGATTTAATAACAGATGGAATTAAAGATATACAAACATTAACTCATTTGAATTTGAACTATAACAATTTATAAACTAAAGGAGCTATGTCTATAGTTGAGATGTTGTTTAATAATAAAACAATTTTAGAGTTAAATTTAGCAAATAATGCAATAGATCATGATGGTGTGATTGTAAAAATTAATTAAATTTATTAGGCAATTACTTCTATTCTTAATTGGAAAAACAATTCATTATAAATTCTAAATTTGGATAATCCAGTTTATCATTCAATAGGATAAGAAACTGCAATCCATTTTGGCAAAATGTTTCATTCTAATAGAGGATTAGAGAAAATATCTTTATAAAAACATAATTTCACATGTGATGCCATATATATCATTACAGAACATTTATTAGAAAATAATAAATTAAGAGTTTTGGATTTAACAGCAAATCGAATTTCATTTAAGGGATGTGAAGCTATTGCAAAATATTTATGTGGTGAATATTGTGTTTTAGAAAGCTTAATTTTAACTTCTAATCGAACTGGACATTATGGAGCTAAAGCAATTGCATAAGCTTTGAGCAAGAATGTATATATTTATAAATTTTTAGAGAACTTTGATTCATTTGGATATGGTAAGGAATGATATTGATGACAATGGTTTAAAGATGATAGCAGAATCATTAGAAACAAATGATATGCTTGTATCTCTAAAACTTTATTAAAATCATTTTGGTTAAATGGCCTTATAAGCATTTCATAAATATAGAATGAAAAATAATAAAAAATAAGGTAGTGCATTATTTAACTATTAATTTTGCAGCTGAAAGATTCTGGGATTTCCATACGTACATAGTAGACAATCATATTGAAATGGCCTATGTAGAACAAAATATTCCTTATGATATTTAAGTGTCAAGTCAATATTTTATTAATTGAATTAAAAGTAGTATACATTATTAATAATATTAATATTAAATGTAATAAGAAATTGAGTTAACTCTTGATTAAATCTTAAATCAAATAGATAAACATGATGATGAACTTGATTTTTCTGAAGAGGGAGGTCTTGTTCGTATTGTGGCATTTGATTAATTGAAATAAGAATTGAGATTGAAGATTTTAGTTATTAATTTATCAAAAAATAGATTGAAAAAGATTGACGAAGTGAATTAATTTCATAATTTAAAATCATTAGATGCAAGTCATAACATTATAGAGGATGTTAAATTAAAAACTTAGTTATTGCTATTTCTTAATTTATAAGATAATAGATTAAAAAAGTTTCCTGATTGTGGTCCTTTAAAAAAACTTAAATCTATTGATATTTCTTATAATTCAATTACAAAAATCGAAAACAATGATATAAAGTAATTCTCTAAAGATTTAGAAGTGTTATTAATCAATAATAATTTAATAAAGTTTGAACATGGTTATGATATAAAAAATATACTTGAAGAATTAAAATAATTAAAGATATAGACTCTAAATATATTGAGGAATCCTTTTTTAAAAAAGTAACCATTAATAGAGACAGCATTTGCAATAACATTATCTGGGACATTGAAAATGTTGAATAACAAATCAACAGATTTATTTATACCAGATGCAAATTTTAATATAGAAGATATATTAGGAGATGTTGAATTTATAGATAGTGAACCTGATGAAGAAGACAAATAATATGCAAAATAATTATGCGATAAAATAACAAGATGCATAAATGATCCTTAAGCAATAGTAGCATGTTTAAGGAAGATAGATGATATAGTAAATATAATAATAGTATAACCAAATAAAGCTGATACATTTTTTTTGGATAAGGATTTAAAGAAATAATAATAGATAGCAGAGTAGATAGATAGTTTTTTATAGAATTGTTTTCTTTTTGCTTAGAATTAATAAAGTTATGTAGAATAAATATTGAAGGCATTGGCTTAATTAGCAATAGTGAAATGTTTAGAGATAGGTAGAAGATGTTTTTAGATGGTGGTAGAAATAGTACGAAGTGGTACAGGAATGGCAATGATAGCTAGAAATATAATATAAAAATATAGCATACCTTTATTACAATAATAAAAGGAATTAGAATGCGTTCCTACATTTGTAATGGAAGGTATTTTAAGAACAGTAGATGAAAGAGAAGATGAAGAGATGGTTCCTTTAAAATTAGCATAAACAAATTTTGTAGATTGGTTAGATTAAATTATGGCAAATTATATGAAAGATATGGACAATTTAAGAGAAGAATAATAATAAAGAGATGTTTTGTTTTTAGATTTTATGGCTCAATTAGCAGAATTTACTAAATTTGCTAATGAATATCATTATAGAGGAATTATTTCCAAAAGTTTAGTTTTATTTAAACTGTTATTAACTTCTGAATTAGATGAATAATATATTGGAATATTATATGTTATAAATAATTCTATGAAAAAAAGTGATAAATGTACAAAAGAAGTATTAGATTCAAGATAAACAGCATGTAATTTTATTAAAGATGTAGAAGATGAATTAAGAAAATATTTATTTATGTTTAAAAAATTTAGAAATTCTTTAACAAATCCAGAAACTAAAGAAAATAAAGATACTATTTTACTTAGATATGAAAAAGTAGGTATTTTAATATAAGTTTATGGGACGATATGGAAATCAGATGTTATTGTATAATAATAAATAAAAGAAAGTTTTTTAGTTAATGAATTATTATAAATGGCTACAATTCCAGCAATTCATCCTTTTTTAATAAATTCAGTTGCTGTTTTTATTAGAAAATTATTAAAAAATAAAATAATAAAAACATAAATACCAGGAATAGATAATAATGATATAGTAAAATATATATGTTTAAAAACACATAATTGTGAATTACTATTACATTATTTAGGAGGTGATTATTATGTATTAATGATGAAATAATTGGATCCAACAATTTAAAAATTAACAAAAAATTTAAGTTCTTTACTTAATCCAAAAATACATGAAGTATTTAGAAATATAATAAAATTACTTAAATTTTTTTCAAAGAATGCAATAGGATATGATAGTCCAATTTCTGATATATGTATGGAAGTAAGTAAGAATTTAGATTCAAATGGAAGAGATGAAGCATTATTTATAGTTTTAGCAACTCCAAGTGATATGGTGAGATTGGCTGTAGTATAATGTTTATTGACAATAAAAGTATCATAATTAGATTCAAAAGAAATTGGAAAATTAGTTACTTTATTAGGATCTTATAGAAATTTAGGAGCAGGTAAAACAGAAAGTGTTGTTGCTAATATAATGATGATTTTAACTAAAATTGTAGTAGGTGAAAAATCAGCATCAAGAGAAGACTTTGTTACAGTATTTAGTTAAAATGCAACATTGTATGCACTTGATATTTTAGAAAGAAATTAAGAACGTGATTTATTAGAATTAGGAGATGATAATCAAGAATATTAAGAGAAAGTAGAATTATCATTTGGTACTAATAATTTTCTTAAATCTTTACATTGTGAACCATTATTAAGAGAAAACTTAAAAGGACTCTATTAAGCGTAATGTATGAGGAATTCCCTTCTTAATGAAGATAGTTTATTAACTCCTGAAACATTAGATATAGATATTGAAAGATCATTTATAGGAAAACAATGTTCATATTTAATATCTGTCTTATTCAATAGAGATGCATTATTACCTTATAAAAAAGTATCAGATAGAATATTAATAAGAATAGCTGAAAATTTAGAAATGAGACCCGAAGATCAAGTAGAAGATTTGAGTAAAGTTAAAAGTCCAGGATTATATGATTTTAAAGAAATTTAAAAAATGTGGAAAAAAATTGCACTTGAAAGGAGATCTAAATAAACAGAAATATGGGATGCAATGGCAACTAGTTAAGAGCCATTTTTAATTATTGAAGATAAAGAAGATTCTGCTTATCATTAAAGTTAACATTAATTATTTTATGATTAAGAAGGTGCTATTAATTTATTAGGTTTTTTAGTTGGTCGTAATTAATCTGCTAAATCATTATCTTTAAAAGAATATTTTATAGAAACTTTTGGAAATTAATTAAATTTTGAAAGGATGATTAATTCAATTAATTTTTGTATTCGTGAATAAGTTCATGAATACTTTGATAATTTGGATAAATAAAAAGAAATTAAAAAATTATCAACAACTAGAATGAATGAAAAATTAACTACTATCTTTTCTGGTTTACCTATGCCAACTGATCCACTTAGAGGATTTATTAAATAGAAACCTTATTTTAATCCTAATAAAATTATCCATTTCCCAATGTTTACTAAAAAAGCATTAAGTATCACTTAAGAACATGTTGCTTACACAGGTATTAAATTTGAAGAAAGAACAATAACTGTATGTGCTTATTTAAGAATAGTTTATGCACTTTTAGGATATTGTCCATAAGATTAAAATAAACCAAATGTTAAAAGATAATAAATGGCTGAATAATTAGGACAAAGAGCTGAATATATAAGAGAATTAACGTTAATTTGTTAATGGGCTGATTGGCATAATGGAAATATAGGTGCTAAATATCTTAAAATAATGAATGTTATTCTAGAATATTCATTTTGTGCTAAAGAAAAATCATTTATAACATCTTTTTTTGTTATTGCTAAAGCGGTTAGAGATATGTTAGATATTATCTCAGTTAAACTTTAAAATGAAGATAAATTTCCATTAAATTATGATGATTTGGTTTTAATTAAAGAAACATGTGAATGCATGAGTAAAATTACTTCTAATTTAACTAAAATATCTAATGAGGATAAAATTATGGAAACTTATGAAAAGGATTATTCTGATCATTTCTAAAGGGAAAGAGCAGAAGTAAGAAATTAAATTGCAACTGTTATTAATAGATAAATAGATGAATATATTTTACTTAATTTGCTTCCACTTTAAGGATTTACTATATTCTTAGAAATTATCGTCTGGGATATGTAATCAGAAAAAAGTCTTTCAGATGCTGTTAGCTTAGATGAAAAAAAATTTAAAATTAAAACTTAAACAAGAGCTGCTTTAATTAAATTAGTTGGTCTCTATATTGTTAAATGCAAAAGTCTAAAATTCTAAATACTTTCTGTATTAACCAGAATGGAAGTTTTTACAAAAAAGTTTATAAGATAATCTTTTATCTAAGAAATATTGGAAGACTTATACTCGTTTGATTATCAATATAAATTACAAGATGGATTATTAAATAGATCTATTTTAATTAAAAACAAAGATGATGAAGAATCAGGTAATTCAAGACCTGATTATTATGTTGAACATTTCATTAAATGTTATTATTAAACATAAAAAGGACTTAATATTCCTGCTATTGTTGTAGTAACTTCAAAATAACTAATATTATGTGAAGCAGATGAAGAAATAAAAAAGAAAAAGAATCCTAATCCTTAAGTTGAAAATCCTAATCTATACATGGAATTTACTGCTCTGAAATTGATATTCAAAATTAATAAATCATAAGTATCTAATAACATTATTTTAGATTGAAGGCTGTTACAAAATGGAAAGTGATTAAAGAATTTGTATACTTTATTCTTTAACTGAATAAGGCCCTCCTTTTAGAGATGAAGAAGCATTAGAAATAGCAATCATATTCTTTCCTAAAATAATTTCATGTATGAAATTTTAAATAGCTTTGAATAATATTAAGTTTTCTAATGATACAATTAGTTAAATGGCATTATTATATATAAGCAATTAAATTTAACCAAAATGTAAAATGTGGGCTGTTGTGAATCCAGAAAAACCAATATTCAACAAATTCAAGGAATTTCATAAGAAAAGAATGTTAATACATAATGATGGAACTTTAATAAGATTATATTAAGATAGTCTTGAAGATTGGTATGAATTTATTCCATAAAACTTTTAATAGGTTTTTTATTAACACAGATTTAATGCTTGAACACACAGTACATAAGAAATATTCTAAATGTAACGAACCTTAAAAGAAATCAGCAAGTGAATAAAATTATTTCAAATTAAAAGGATCATATGATTTAAGTAAGTTGAGAATCCTCGAAATAGATTAGACATTACATAATCAATTAATATTAGAGTTTGGTAATTCTGCAAACCCTAACACTTTACGCCTTCTTTTTGGATGTGATAGAGCAAGAGAAATATTTAAATTCTCACTTCTTAAATAAATAGAAGTTAAGAATTTTAAAATTAAATAAATGTAGTGACTTTTTATATTTCTTAAATTAATTAAATATTTGACGCATTATAATTTAAGAATGAAATTGTTCTAATTTTGTAAATAAAAGCAGAATTTAATTCTTGATTATTTAATTAATAAATGAACAAATTAATTATAGTTGTACTTCTCGGATTAGCATCTGCATAATTACAAAGTGTTTAAACATTGAACGTAACTTAATATTTAGGTAACTGGTATGAAGTGGCCAGTAGTCCATGGGTTCATTTAACATTTGAAAAAGATGCTTATTGTACTAGAGCTACATATGGTTTATAATCAGATGGAAACTTAAGTGTATTAAATATGGAAAGATATGGATCTCCTTAAGGTGAAGTAAAAGAAATAACAGGTTATGCTTATATTCCAAATCCAGCATAACCAGGTTAATTAAAAGTACATTTAGATGGAGCACCATTTGAATATGCTGATTATTGGATTGTTTAATTAGGACCAGTCAAAAATGATTAATATTAATGGGTTATTGTTAGTGAACCATCCAAATTCTTTATGTGGGTTTTAGCAAGAGATCCAGTTGAATACAACTTATTGTATGCAACATAGGTTCAAAATACTGTTTCTAATACTCTTTAATTTGATGGACGTTTTAATTAATATGTTGCTAGACCATGGACTGGATGTATTCCATATGGTGATGCTTAATGATAAACATTTTATATCATTATATATATATTAAGATTTAGTTCTAAGAATATTCTTAAAATTAATATTTAAATATTTAATTTAAATCATTATCTCAAACTCTTCTTTTCTTTTAAGGATTCTTTTAAACTGATCTTTATGATTTTCTAGAAAGTCTTCTTAAAGATTTACTAATCTTATTATATTGAATTATCACTTCTGTCATATTATTATGAGGAAAATAATGTTTAAATTCTTAATATTTTTCAAACTCTACTAAATCTCCAAAATATCTATTATTTATTGAACTAAGAAGCTATGTTTTCCAACTTCTTTTCTATGATTTCTCTCTTTCTGTTCTTTCAATCTTAAGATTTGATTTTAATTAAATTTCTTTAATAGATGGTTCTAAATTAACACCACTATAACTATTTGTTAAAATATTTTATTTAGGTTCTGTACCTTTAGGATGAACTATCTTATATATTGAATTTCTAGTTGCAACTCCTTCCTAATTTATAGGTGATTAAATTGTTAATTCTTAAGATGGAGCATCAAGACTTGGATGTTATTAAGATATTGAATTTTTTAAAGTTTCATCCTAATCTGATATTTAATCTTCCAACTAGTAATCATTAAGAAATGCTTTTTAATGTTCTTAAATAATCTTCAATAATTAGAATATATTACTGTTTTTATTTTCAGTGCTTTCAATTTCCAATTATTTCTTTTATTATAAACCATTCTTTGTTATATTGATTTATTATAAAGTAATATAAGTTTTTATGTATCTGGTTTATAATTAAGATATTAACAATCAAATATTATATGATCATCTTTTTTGCATAAAAAACATTACATTCCATCTATTGATAAGTTTTATAATATTCTATCTTTGATATTATGAAATCTTTCTAAATCCATTTATGATAATACTGATAAAAAATCATCTCTTCTAATACTAAAGATTTTGGTAAATCCAATACTTTTTGCACTGCATTTTCTAGAACAAAGTGTATAAAAAGAACTTTCTCCAAAAAACTATCCTTTTGTCAATGTAGATATTACAGTGTCAGAATTTGTATCCATCAATTAGACTTTCCCTGAATCTATCATATATAATGAATTATCATCCTCTATGTTTTATTAAAAAATAAATTCATCAGGACAATATTAATGTGTAATCAACTTTTATGATGCTTTTTTTAAAGTTTCTTCAGAAAAATTGTTAAGCAATATTTTATTCTTTTATAAGATATATTTAAAAACTGTAAATTTTAATTCTTCTTTTAATTACTGAGATAATTTATTATCAATTACCTCATTGTATTCTTAATCGGCATCTGTTTATTCTTAATGTTAATATTATAAATAACTTCTTATTCTACTTTATAATTAATTTGGAACATGATACTAATTCATATATATTGAAATTGCTCGAATAGTCTAACTAAAATCTTATATAATCTATTTACATAAACTATGTTTATTAAACATTGATATTATATAGTATATTTCCTATCGAATTAATTGAGTATGCAAATATAAAACTAGAAAATACCATAGAAAATATGCATGCAATTATTTCTATTGGATTTTTAGGAGTTATATCACCATAACCAACAGTTATTGTGGTAGTAACTGCCCAATAATATGAATATAAATATTGAATCTCAATTGTTTCATTCATAATATTTGCTTATAAAATCCAACTATTTTCAAAATTTATTGATGATTCTTATCCTACATAATTCCAAATGCATGCTAAAATATGAATAAAATAAATGATTAAAATGAATAATTAGAATAAATTAAAATATTCTCGATAAAGTTTATTGAAATAAGTTGCTTAATTTATCTTAGCTATTTCTTCTGTAAACTTTCTGTAGATAAAAATTGAAAAAATGAAAAGAAAAATTAATTCAATAATTTATACTCTTTGACTTTCCTAAATTGCATAAAAAAGAACTAAAACTGAAATCATTATAAAAGTATCAAATAGTAATTAAGATCTAAAATAAAATGACAGTATTTCAGATCTTGAATTAATTACCTAATAATATTTGATAATTTTTTACATTTCCTTAAAAAACTAATTAAGTATTTAATTTTAATATGATATCAAAAATTATAAAGATTAGGGTAAGTATATGAAAAGTAGTATTAATTCTAAAAGTCCATAAAAATGGATAAAGCCATAATAAGAGTATTAAAATAATAGTTTTTATATAAGACCAAATTTATAAGAAAGCATTATCTTAGTCTAAAAGTTGATGACTTAATTTAAAGCAATAAGTATTGAATTCAGGTTAAGTAATTGATATTCTTTTTTATAAATATTTTTCACTAATTATTTTCTTGATTTTTTCTCTTTTAGCTTGACTTAATACATGTGATTTCAACATTAATTTTTCCTTAAAAATTGCTACTAATTTATCAACTTTCAGAACTTCAAATAATTTTGATTAGATTTTGATCATTTAACTTCTATCTTAATTTTTAATGGTTTTGAATCCTTATGCTTGAAAATTAGTATTTGAATTAATAGAGAAGTTTAAATCGTCATTTTATTCTGCCTCATTTTAAGGTAGAGGAGAACAAGAAGGTGTTTTATTGAAAGGCTTATTATTATCATATTCACATTCAATTTAAGCAGATTAAAGTCCAAAAGATTGATGTCTCTAGTTCATATGACTTGAAATATTTAATTATTATTAATTATAAAGATATTACTATTTAATTTTTTGAATAAGTTGTTGTTTAAATACATATATACATTTTTAGGTATAATTTGATTTTAGATAAATATGTTAATTGATAAAATAAAGAGAGAAAATTAATAAATAAAAAATAAATAAATTTTGCACAATAAATAATAAACATAAATTGATTTGAAATTCTTTTCAATTTTTTTCTTTATTTAGTATTCTTTGATCGTATTCAACTTTTTCGAATAAATATCGATTTTATCGAGTTACTAATGGAAAATGGCCAATTTGATTTTCAGAATCAATCAATTTGGATAGTATAGTATGTCTAAGTAGATTGCCATTTTATTTTTCTTCATCCATCATTTATTATCTTAGATTAGTTAAGATATCTCCTGATTTCTACTTTAAAAATAATTATAAATTTTTTTAGTAGTATGATATCTTCTTAACAAAATCATAATCAATAGATGGAATTATATCTTTATTTTATTAGGCTAATAAATATTCTGAATGTCTAATTTTATGTCTATTAATTAAAGGTGTATGTTAACCTAATTAATCTTAAAATTCTAAAGGCATTTCACCAGCCCCAAAGATTCTATAATAAATATCATATTTGTTTGGTTTAATAAAGATATAATTTCTACATAAATCTTCATCAATAGAAAAATGTTGATTAGATTCTGGATAATCACTTTTCGGTCTGAATAGTAAATAAAATATTTTATGATCAACTCCAGTGATTCTACCAAGAGTAGCTCCTAATTAAGTTGGACTTGTATATATTTATGAAGCAACTTCGATATCTTGCATAAGTTAATCAATAGTATGTTTTAGATTTGGATATTGATGTGTACACGAATTAACAATATCCTAAAAGTTAGTTCCTTCTTAAATACGAGATACTATACTTGTACTATAAGATAAGATATAACAATTTACCATTAAAATAATAATTATAAATAGTTTCTTTGTTCCTCTTTTAATTTTTTATAATTTTATTGTTTCTATTAATTCATAGTTATAATTGGTATTTCTTCTTTTAAAATATCTGAATATTTAAGAGAATTGTTAGATTACTTTTAGTTTTTTAAAAATTCTAGATATTCTGTAATTTCTAAAGATGGTGATTTTAACATAAGTTTTCTCTTATGAAGAGGAGCTCTTCTTTCTTTTCTGGTTTCTATTTTAGGAGTTTCAATATTAGGCTTGCTTAAAATAGTTTATTATGAATTATGAGTATGAAAACGCTTAACTGAACTCAATCCTGGTCTTTCTGATTTATTTATAGTTTAAGATGATTAAGGAGAATGAATACTGAACATTGGTTTGTATAAACTTACTTATGTAATTTAAGTATGAATATGATGTTTATTATGATTTGTATGATTATCTTTCATTTACTGTAAAACCTTATATTAATTAAGGAAGTTTATCTTTGAGTTATCTGCTAACATATTCTTATAAAAGAACTTCTTTTTAATGTAAGGCTCAGTTGGAAATATCATAAATATATATATATAAATTATATTAATATCACAAAGAAGCAATGCTTTATTCCCATTTGAATTAGAACTTTAATTCTCTTTCACTAAATAATTTTATTTAATCTTTTGCAAAATCTACTTATTTTTTGTATTCATTCACAAAATCGTTAATTGATTTAAAGAATTCATGTTTTGCTGATATTTAACGAAATGTTTTGAATGATTTTAATGGTCTAATTAATTAATCTAAATTATATACGTTGTAGTAGTTTAAATTACTTTATCTAATTCCTATTATTTTCCACCTCCTCCTCCTGGTTTCTTTGCTTCTGGTGCTTTATTTTTTGCATCTTTTGGATCTATTTTTACAACTTAATTTATTTGCCAATTATATTAAATTATTCTATCTCCTATTGTAAACATTTCTAATTATATTCCTTCCCAAGTCTTACTCAAAGATCTTTCTGAATTTGTATCTATTATTTATCCACTCTACTTCTATCTCAATGAAACTTTTAAATTTTAATGTTTTTTCTATATTTATTCATCCCCTGGTAATTTTATAAAATCTTCAAATAATAACAATGAATCATAAAAAAGCAAGAGAAATTCGAAATTTTAATTTGAAGCTTTTAAAAATTTATCTCCTTAATTAAAATTCTCATCAAATAAACTTACTTAATATTTTGATAATAATTCCAAAAAATCAGATAGTCTTTTTTATTCTCTCTATTTTAAATCATCTAATTCTTCTTTCAATTATGGATTACCAAGATTTGGCCTTAATTATTTTTAATGCAATTTTTTTAGATTTTCTTATTTATTCTATTCCTTTTATAGTTCATCCCATAAATTACAATTTATCAATTATAATGTAAAAATCCATCTTTAATGATTAGATAATAAAATCATCTCACTTATTTTTGGTGACATTTCTGATAATTCCTCACAAGCATTTCTTAATTCTCTAATTGATTAAATCCTGAATTCATTCATATTCCTTTACATGTTTTCAATGTATGCTCTTAGATAATCTGGAATTTTATCAGTTCCAGTTAAAAATTTTTGTTTATCAGCATAAATCTTAATTGCTTCATCTTTAATAATTTTTTCAATTTCTACTAAACTTTCTTATAGTTTTTTTTCTGTATAAAATAATGGTCCCATACTTTCTAAATCATTTTCAATTAATTTTTTATCTTCTAATTATTCATCATTTTCTAGAATAGTATCAAACTTATTTTCTTTCCAAGTAGTTCTTGGCATATCAACAACTTTATTATCTGGTTTGAGTGCTTCAATATGATTTGCATATCTTTTTATACAAATTAAAGTTCCACTTAATATTTTTCTAATTTTAATAGAAAATGATGGTTCAAGATTTGAAAAGTAATCACCTTATCTTGATTTAAATAATTCATAATTATTTTTTAATTCTTAAATTTTAAGATTAATACATTCTTATGCTTTTTCACATTTAGTCATTTCTGTTCTTAATTTTTCTTAAGCTATTCTTTTAGGTCTACCATATTTTTTACCAGTTCCATCTTTAGCTGCTAAATCCTCTACTGCTATAATATATTCTTATTCAAATTTATCAAGTTATTCTTATTTTTTAGCTGTTAATACTTTTTTTATTTCTTCTAATCTTTATGTTCTTTTTTCTTTATGTTTTTAAATAGTATTATTATGTTCATCCATCAATTATTAATACCATTCTAATTCTTCTTTAAAATATTCATTAGGTTTGCAATCTCTCATAAAATCTTTATTTTTCTACAACAATACATCTAATTCTTGATTTGCTAAAAAATTTAATTTCTATTCTAAATCATTTATTTCTAAATTAAATTAAATAGATTACTTTCACCAAATTTAAAATAATTCTCTTTTACTGTATTTTAAATTCCTTATAATTTAGCTAATGTTGTAGCTGATTGTAAATTGTTTTTTAATGCTTATTATTCTTAAATATAATCTTTCATATCTAATAATCCTCCTTCCAAAATAAAATTAATTTATTCTGTTTAATCATCAATTCTCTCAACTAATTATTTTGCATATCGTTCATATCTATATAATATTAATTATGATCACCTTTTTTTATGCGTAGTAATTTATTAACTCCTTAATACATATATAGTATTCTTTATTTCTTATTTTTAAGGTTCTATTTATTTCTATTTTTCATTTTTCTAATTTTCAGATTATTTTATAAATTCTTCATCACTTTCTTTTGCTTATTAATTTTAAAAATTTAAACAACTTGTTATATAATCAAACAATTTTTGTTAGGTTTAACTTAATAATGATGACAAATATTCAATTGTTATTATTGCATCCTTCTCTAAAACAGCTTAATTTAAAACATTTATAGGAGGTTATTCTGCAAAATCTACTGATTTCTTAGGAACATCTTCTTCTGGAATATAATTAGGTAATTCAATTGGAGGTGGTGCTGCAGGTTTAGCTTTTGGATCTTTTGGTGCATTCTATTACTATATATACTATTCAATTTCATCAGTTTCTAACTTTTCTTTAGCTAATACTTATTCCAATTCATCAGGAGGTATATACATACGTTCTGCTATATCTATAGTAGATCTAAATTGCACAAATTATTAATCAAGTGGGCTATTATATTTAACTACTTCTTAAGGAGGTTATTCTTTTAATAATTATTTCATTCTATCTTCTAATTCTTATTAAAATCTAAGAAATATTTTTATATAATTACTTTTTAGGATCTTTTGGTTTAATAGCAGGAGGTTTTCCACCTTTCTTATTTTTAGCTTCTTCAATTAACTTTTCTTCTTCTATTTTCTTATTGTATTCCTCCTTTGCTATTAGATATTTAATTTTAGTTTCAGCTATTCTTCTATATTTTTCCTATAAAAATGATTCTTTTTAAGGATCAACTAATTCAAATATTGTTAAAGCCTATTTCTCAAATATTTAATGCTTATTTCTAATTATATTAGGATGTTAATTTGCAATCCCTATATTATCCTAATGAAATCTTTCATATTCTTCACCAAATTAATCCAAATCCTTATTACATTATCCTAAACATTCTTCTAAACGTGGATGATGTAATGCCTCTGTTAATTTCTATTTATCTTCTTTCAACTTTTTAGTTAACTCCTCTAAAACTTCATCATTTTTATCTGCTGCTTATGCTTTCTGAATTTCATAATTGTGATGTAATAATTACAACTCTGTTTTGTATTCATCATTCTTTGTTGCTATTTTCATAAAGAATTATCCAAAATTACTCATTATATCAGTTTATTATTAATCAATCCTTTCATAGTAATCAATTGCTTATTTCATTAAATCCCTTGCAGATTAATTAAGACCATTTACTTATTGTAGAAAATCTTCTTCTAATATTTATGTTAATTCTTCTTCAGTTTTAGCTTTAGCATAAAACAATTATTATTTAATCAATTCATATCTTTACATGCAATACTGATGTGTTTTTTTAGTTTCTTCTAATAAATTATTGCAACAATTGTCAATAGTTTAGGATGCCAATTCATTATATGATTTGGTTTCATCTATCCATTTTTCTACAATAGTTTTAGTTAATGCAGATAATTCAATAGCGTTGAGTTTTTCTAATAATTATTTTCTTTCTCTAAAAATATCTTTTTATGTTTTCCTAAATTAATGATATAATTAGGTTCTTTCATCAGGATATACATATTATAATTTAGAAATATCAAGATTGAATTCTTCAACATAATTTTAATGTTTTAAATCTCTCCATCGTTGTTCTTTTTAAATTTGTGTATCATCATACAATTTGAATGTCTCTTAATGTTATCGATTAACTTCTTGAACATAAACTTAATTCTCTGCTCTCTTGTCTGCCACAATTTTTCGAAACTCTTCTCTAAAAGTCTGAACGTATAATAAGAGGTGATACATCCACATGCGCAGTAATTTCAGGTTCTAATTGGAATGCCACATCAATAAGTCCTTCTTAATATCTATTGCAAAATAGTTCTAAGGATCTAAATCTTTCTTTTTCTAAATCTTCAAGTCTTTTATCAAGAGTATTAACTTTAATTTCTCTTTTTTCTCTATGTGAATTAACAGTTGAATGGATACTTTCTACAAATTCAATTTCTCTTTTAAGTAAGGCTTCATCAGTAAGTGTTTGATAATAGTTAGTAATTTATTAATCTGATTCAGAAAAGAAATCTGTAATATCTCTTTTAATATCTTTATAAGCTTCGTCTAAATTTTTATTAAGTCTATTGACCCATTTTTCAAATTCATCACAAAATTTAAGATGCTTTTCTCTTCTATTATCCTTTTATCTTTCAATAAGTAACTTAATATTATAATTTGATAACTTACTTTTGTTTATTCTCTATAAATAGGTGCAGGATGTTTTGGAAGGGAGGCAACTTCAGATTATAATGTATATTCAAACTTTTAAATCTCTTTTTCAAGTCTTGCTTATCTTACAGATTCTTTTCCTGTAGAACTAAGTGTAACTTTAGGCATTGAAGAATTTTCAGGTCTTTTATACTCAGAAAGAAGTGCAGCATGTAATTAAGAAGAAGCTTTAAATTAAAAACTAACAGGCTATTCTTCAAGATTTCTTTATGCAGACCTTGTAAAAGTTGATTTCATTATTAATATAAATAATTTGTTTAGAATTTTTGCTTGTGAATTGTTTTACATAAAAGGATAAATACACACATTCAGATGATAATACAATAATATCAAGTCTATACTTATCTTAATAATCAAAACATGATATCTAAATATTCGTAACATGAATACAATCTAGACATCATTTCTAAGAAAATCATAAAATTAATTATTGTTTTAAATGGTAATAGATTTAGTTTGTATAGATTCAAATGAAATAGATTGTTATTTTTAATAACAAAGAAAATAGACTAATTATATAAAGAATTAGAGTTTTCTTTAACAAATTCTATCATAATATATATTAGAAATCTAATTAATAATTTAATATAAACATACAATATTTATTAATATATATTATCATATTAAAACAGAAAATAATTAATCAAAAAAAAGATATTAATTAATATTAATGGCTACCCCATAATCTTTGTCACCATCACCATTATAATCTTTGGGCGATTTCAGTGTTAAAAAGCTAGTAGATGATGATTTCTCAACAGGAAAAGCTACTTTAAAAGTCAAAGCTTAAGCTAATGGTGGAGGCAGTGCTAATTACAAAGGCACCTTAGACATTAATTCATCTTTGGCTCCAGGTTAAGAAACAAAGTTTTAAATGCCATACAAGAATTAATATTTTTGGTTTGCCACTAGAAGAGAAGAAACCAAGTTTCATATTGATTTTGGCAAATTTAATATCATAAAATAATAAAATTTATTTGCCAATGTCTAATTTTATAATAGTTCAAAAAAATCAACTATTAGAGTTGGATCAGTTTATGAAGGATAAAAATGCTTAAGTCATGCAAGTAATATAATTATTTATAAATTAAATTAGGATTGGAATGGTTAAATTAAGACAAAATTAATTTCTTACTTAGATCATAAGTTAGAAATAATAATTGGCTTTATGTAATAGCTAGTAAAGCATGTCTATCTAAATAATAATTTGATAAGTTAGATTTCTTGATAGGATACTAGACAAAAAATTATGATATTTTCTTTAGACATGTAACAAATGAAAGTCATCCTTCTTTTCCAATTATAAGCAATTTTGGAATTGGAAGATTCTATTTTGATACTGTTTACAGAAAGAATTCCAATCAATATGGATTTGAATTAGAAGCTAAACCACTTAGTGTAGAAGCAGTTCGTTTAGCTGCATCAACTAAAGTTTAAGGAGCTGATGTTAAAGCAAGAGTAAATGTATTTAATAAAACTCTTGGAATTTCTGCTAAAGGAAAATTCAATAATACGTATATATACTCATTTATATTTAATTAGATTCTCATGGACATTAGCAACTGAAGTACCAATTGATGGATAAGCACCTAAAAAATGTGGATGTCTTCCAGTTCCTATTGGATTAACTTTAGAAACAACAATATGAGATTAATCATAAATAAATATTATCCAAATTCAATATTAATGTTGTATACTAATTAAATACATAATCTAACACAGATCAATTTCATGACGGCTTAAATATAATAAAAGAAATTTTATTTCGAAGCTTTAAAATTTTATTACTTAAACATTATCTTGCATTATCAACTTGATTAAGTGAAGAATGACATAAAAAATATGAAGATTAAGTGTGAAGAATTCAATAAAAAAAAAAGAAGGAAAAATTCTGAAATTATAAAACCACATGCTTGCTAACATTGTCAAAAAACTTATGCGTATTAATTATTTGATTATTCTTAGAACATATGCAGCAAAATATAAACACATTAAAATTAAACATAGAGAATGATAATACTAATCAATATTATATTTAAACAAAAATAATTCTCATTATTTTTATTCTTATTCTTATTCTGATTATTATTATTATTAATGATAAAAATATTCCACAATTTATTCATTCTGATAACCCTACAATATCATATATTAACATTGTTGTTCATATGATAATTAAGTATAATTTATTGAATAATATTCGATTAATCTCATTTATTCTTCCTGACTGAGAGAATCGAGATATTATTATTATTCATAAAGATACATATGTTATTATTATTCTATTATAACACTTTCAGTTATTTATTGATGATCTTCTATGGTCATCCCATGTTCTTTCTAAAATTCTTTCTAATCTTCTTCATAATCCATTTGATCTACTAATTCTTCATCTGAATCACTATTCAATCCTCCTTCAAGAACCTTTTTTTTATTAATCTTTTTTTTTAATTAATGAACATCTTCAAAATATTAATCTAACCTTAACTTCAACTTTTATTTTCCCTATCTAATAGTCTAAAGAGGTTATAATGATTTTATTATTTCTTTGTTAGGATTTAATAATAATGCTAACTAAAATTTCTTTAAAACATCTTCTTTTGAATATTTCTATTACCAATCATTAACATTCATCACTGCTTATCCAATTAAATAATGCATTAAAGATTATAATTTTGGATTGTGTATTTACTATTATTATACAAAAGAAACAAATTTCTTTAAAGTATTTATATCTTTGTTCTTACTTACTTAATGATATGATCTAATAATTTAACCCCAAATAATTATAGGATCACTATTTTAAATATATTTATTTGTAATATCTAACCATTTTTCTAATTCCTAATATTTTTCAGTTGCTACATGATAGTGTATATATATCGATAAACTATTTGGATTAAATGTACCTTAATTTGCAAACTACAATTATATAAAATACTTTTACTTCGTCAGCAATTTCTTATAAATTTGTAAGTGTTTCACCAATTGATTCAATGTCATCTAACTTTTTTAAATAACAACCATAATGTAGCATATTGTATATGAATCTTGCTTTCTTTAGCTTTTCATCTTTTGGTAAATATTGTTATGCATATAAACAATAATTCTACATTATCTAACCTAATATATTTTCCATTCCTTAAGAACCTCTATCAAAATACAATTAAGTTAAGATTGGCTAATTAATTAATATTTAATATTACTATTAAAAATAAAGCTATTTTTTTCCATTAAATTTAATCTTCAAATTTTTCAAGATAATTATCTTTATATTATAATATAAGCTAATTTGCATTCTTTTTATCATGCAAATTCTTTTAAATCAATGATTTAATCCAATACTTATCTTTATCAATATTATATTATTTTGCTATTTAATCTAACAATCCTTCAGTTGATATTTATTACTCAATATCACATAATAATTTAACTAAGAATTTAGCTATCAATTTATCAGCATAAGGTAAAATCTTAAATTTTATAATTTTTAGTATCAAAGGTAATCTAGATGTATTTCTAGATCTCTCTAAAACTAATTCATTTATAATTGTATTTAACCACAAAGTGGCTTGATTGGTTTTTCTAAAATCTAAAATTTCTTATTGAATATATTTTTACTCATAAAATGTCATGTGAATTTTGTTAAGAATTTCACGATATACTTTTTTTAAGGGATTGTGAAATATACATAATTACAAATGAGTTATAGCCTATTACCAATTACCTTAATAAATTAATTCCATAAATTGTAATTTATGTTTTAATTCATCTGTTATTTTTGTGTTTTTATCCATTAACTAATCAATATAATTAATCAATTAAGCTTCATTAAGTTCTTTCAATTTTAAACATTATTATTAAAATTTGGCAACAAACAAATAATAATCTTTATGAGAATTATCCTTTAAATAAATTGTTCTTGTATAATGATACCATTTATTTACAAAACTCATAAATAAAACATCAAAATTAAAAATATTTGTAGCTTATCTCAACTTAATAATATTTTTAACCAACATATCAAATGCATCATTAATGATTATAATCAATTCTTATAAATTAGATACTTTATCAATACATAATGTTAATAAATGAATTAAATATTTTAATTTTGCAGCCCATTAAATATGATTATTATTAGAACTTTCAAATTAATTCATTTATTAAATAACTTAATACATTTCTTCTTTAATAACCTTAATAGTACTATATTTTATATAAATCTTTTCTAATTCTGTAGTATTCTATAGATAAGGAATTTCACAATATAAAATTCCCAAATATTCTGATGGAAATTACTAAAGCAATTACTTAAATTTTTCATCATGAAGGATGGCTTCACTTGTAATTGTATATCCCAAATAGAGATTTCTAAATATGATACTTAAAATATTTTAAATTGGTGTATTCTAAAGAGTTGATACATAGTCTAAATATGAAGATATTGCTTAAGTTAACTGATTTTAATAACAATGTAATGAATCTAACTATTTTACTTTATTGCAATCTGAAATTTCAATATTATAATTTTATTAAAGATAAATAAATAAAATTATAGATAATGCCAAATAAGCAAAGGCTGATGTTGTAGGTTCTACCTCTATGCATTTTTAGAGAGTTTAAAAGGCAAATTCGTAATTTTATCTACCTATATAGAGCAATCCTAACTAATAAAGAGCTGCTTAACATTTTTTATTGCATTCTAGAGCTTTTATAATAAATGCTGGATTTTTTCTGATTTATGCCGCTATACAATACAAACTATCACATTTTGGAAATAAAGATAAACATAATTCTAAATATTTACTATTATCTAGATTAAGTCTACACCTAGTTAATAATAACGATTGTAAATTATTTTTCACAATTAATTATTTTTTATCTTATCCATTTAAAATACTCCTTATATGTTAAAATGTTTCTTATAAATCGAATTAATCTTCGATTTCAATCTAACATAATAACTTTATCACATTTTAAGAGTATTGTAAGCTTTAGCTAAAATATTAAGGATCGTAATAAATTCCTAATAAATAAAAAAATTCTCTTAAACATTCACAAGCATAAACATTTAATTATAATTATGATTAAATTAAATTAAACAAACTTAAATATTTTTAAGCTAATTATTAAACTCCATCAGTTCCATAAACTAATTGATTTTTTAATTATTAGACTGCTATTTCAAAAACAAAACATAAATAGCTCTTTATTAAGATTTGTACTTCTTAATCATCAAAATTATGAATTGACATCAGCAATCCTTAAATCATTCTTTCTTAACTAAAATAATCTTATTATCCATATAATTATAATTAAGCACATTCAAAATTATGTAATATCAAAAGTTTTGAATATTGCTAATTTATTTTTTTGGTTTTATATGTACTTACCCATCTACTTTAGATTTATATTTAATTAAATAATTAAGTAAATTTAATTAATTTTCCTTTATTTGTTGTATCATCACATTTAATTGTTAAATATTTATCTAATTCAGATATTTAATTTTTATTTTCATTTTACAACAATTCTTCAGCTTTTTCTAAACTTTTTAAAGCTGATCCTTATAATCCAAGTATCTTTTTTAATTCAGCTAATTTCATTTCTAATTTAAATAATTTAAGATATTTTTCATCCTAAAAGTATTATTCAGTTAAAACAATCATTCCTTAATTTACTAAATAATTTGAAGAGAATACAGGATAATCAGATAAATATAGATTATCATTTTGATTAATAAAGTAAGGAATGGAGAAATCTCCTTAATCGAATTTCTTTTCATAATACAACTTATAAGTTTTTTCAACATTAAAATGAAATTAATCAGCTGCTTTTTATAAAATATCATGAGCTTTACCAAATTAAACATTCTGCATTAAATGTTATCCTATAGTGAAACTTAACCAATAAACATTTTAAAATTATTATAACTTATAAATATTTATTGCAAATTCTAATGCCTTATCTTTTTATTTTAATTTATTTAAAACAAACATGATAATCTAATTTAAATGATAATTTGTTTAACAATAATTAAAAGCTCTATATAGATGTTCTAAAGATTCTACATATTATTTTTCATAGAAAGATAACATACCAAGTGCCAAACTAGCTTCATAATCATCACCTTATACTTTTTCAAAATAAGTTTTAGCTTCACTTATTTGTTTATTTATTAATTTTAATGTTCCAATTCTTTTAAAAATGATTTATTCAATCTTAGGAGGAGCAGGAAGATATTTTTAATATTTATCTATCAAATCTGATTATGAAATCTTATTTTCTGAGAATTTTAGCCAATCATAATTGATTTGAACTTTGAGATTTTATGGATCATCTGATAAAATTTTTTCAAATATTAGTTGCATTGATAATTCTTCATCATAATGTCTAATTAATGAAACTAATTTCATTTGATAATCAAAATATTTTTCATAAGTTTCAAGAGAATAGGCTTTGTTTTTAATTCTTATTTTTAATAAATTTTTCATTTCCATAAGTTCCATTGGATCTGCTAGAATCTCATATCCAAGATTAGCACCTACTTCTTCCAAAACAGAAACATCGAACTCAAAGTTCTTTAATTATTTCATTTTTTTATTAAAATCAACCATTAAAGTATTAGCTAATTATGAATTATCTTTATTTCCACTTTTAAATAATTATGCAACTTTAAGAGGCAATTCTAAAATTGTATAATCTTTATCTTTTTCAATAATATCAAAGTTTTTTTATTAAAGTAATTTATCAATGACAGATAAAAATTAATCCCCACTTTATTATACTATCTAAGAAGCATAAATTCTCATAAAGGCTAAGAATGCTTATGCTTTCAATATTGTTTTATTATATTATTCTTCATCAAATGTAATATAATTAAAAAATGTTAAACCTTAATTGTCATCACTCAATAAAATTATGCATTCCTCTAATAAGAATTTAATTTTAAAATCAAGAAAGCAGTGACAATACCTTAAGACTTAATCTAATAAAAAGCAACTTGATGGAAGCAATTCTAACCATTCAAATAATACAATATAATGTTCTTTTGAAATTGCAAGTCCAAAAATGATATCTCTAAATTCTAAAGGGAATTTAGATACTACTTTTCTAGAGATGATTTCAATGATTTCGAAATTAGGGATTTGATTAGATATTTTATGTGAAAATTAAGAGATTATGGAATTAAAAGATTTTGGTTAAGTAACATCAATTAATCTTAGATCAATAATTAATGGAATATAAAATTTGGCTACTTTATATACTTATTCAGCTGAGCCATGTTTTAATAATTCTTAAAAGTGTATATCTAACATTTTCCTTTCTTAATTTTCATGTAAAATTTCACAATATCCTACAGTAGCATCCATTGCTTTTCCAATATCAGTTTTTTTGCTAAATAGAGCATAATATAATACTAAATTGTAATTAATTTTTATCCATATTCAATTGCTTTTTCTTTATTTTTTATATCATCCTTATTCAATTTAAAAAGTGCATTCAATATTTTAGGATCTTCTGGTCTTTTATCAAGTGTATAGAGATAGAATTCTTCTGCCTTTTTGTAATTTTTGAGTTTTTAAAAACATAATCCACTCAACATATTGTACTCAATATTTTTTTCTATAAATAAGAATATAAAGAAATACAATCCTTCAAAAGTAATAGATCTAAATACTCATCATAAGCTTCTTTGTATTTTTCTTATTTAATTAAAGATAATGCTTTTTAGTATAATTCTTTTTATCTATCCATATATTAAACTTTATATTAAAAAATACAATAAAAAACTCAGTGTTTCTTACCTGTAAGTTTTTCTCTCCATTTTCTATCATTTCTTTACTTGATTTCATACATTTCCTTAGTTCTTTGAGAGTTATTGAAGTCTCTTAATTTCCAATAAAGAATATCTAATCTAAAATTTGAATCTGATGGTAAAGGACAAGGATGATTGACCATAGCATGAGGATTCATTTCAAAAGTATCAAATAATTTAATTCCATCAAATTCAACCATTTAATTCCAAATACCATTTATAGAAAAATACTAAAATATTTAATAAATAAATTAATTACTCTTTATTCAACATCTTTATCAAAATCAATTCCAGAATATTTAGCATATCCTTCTTTTTTATATTTATTTAATACTCCAGGTTTAACTTTGTATAAATAACCAATAAATTGATCTTATAATAAATCTTTTTTATTGAATACATTCTTACTACCTGGATTAAATGCCATATCAGCAATTAAATTATTTTCCTGAAATATATATTATTATAAATACTAAATCTATTGTATAAGATCTCCCATTAATATTAAAAACTCTAGTTCCAAATGCAGTTCCTGTTAATACTCCTGGACATTAGATAAAGATCTACTTTGAACGTGTATTATGATAAGTAACTCTAATATATCCAATATTTTTTCCTGTAACACTATTTGCATGCATACTAGCTGCTGATTCAATATGTCCATCAATATCATAACCCCTACCTTTTAATTAAAAAGCACTTATTGGAGGATGATGACTAACCTATTCAGCATAAACAGGACATCCATTAATAAAACCTTAATAAGTTTCTCCCAAAATAGGGTTAAATGGTTTCTCTAAAGACATATACATAATTATTGAACCTATGAATATAATGTAATAATACTGCATCCAAATGCTATTGTGTATTTCATCTATTCTATTATGTTATCTATTTTTGCTGCTTTTTCTAATATCTATGGAGCAAATGTAAATGAATAACAAAATCTTTCTAAATTTGATCTGCTCTCAAAAACTTCTACAGGTAATGAAATATTCAGAATTGATTTACCAGATAATAGATTAGATCCTATTGATTTTAACATAAATTTTATGACTCTCTTCTAAGCCTCTATTTTCTTCTAACTATAAAATATCATTCCACCATGTTTCATATCTCTTTTCCAATCCTATCTTAAAAAATAATGACCACCATCTATTTATGTTATATATTCATCTTTAACCATCTAAGGTCCAGTCACATATTTATGAGTTATACAATTTGCAGTATAAACATAAGAACCTTACTCAATATTTTTTATCATTTATTTCACTTATGCTATCTCCTTTTCTGATAATTATGGCAATGTCTATTATATAAAATCACTTGGAGTGTAATTACTTAAATCAGCATCCTCTATATCTTTATTATATTATTAAATCTCATTAATTTCCTTCTGATTTTCTATTATTAATGGAGTTGTTTCTGGAATTGTTGCTATTATTGGAAGCTAATCCAAAGTTATATTCTAAGTTTCAGTTATTTAATCAGATTTGAATTATTTATCATTTGCCACTGTTACAGATGTAGATTAGTAAATTTCTTATTTATATTCCTACTACTATTATTATGGACTATTATCATATTATTACTAAAATCCATTATTAATCTAAGACAATTATTATGGTGAAGTAGATTATTATTATTATTATTATTATTAAATATTAGATGATATTTCTTGATCAATTATTATCACTTCTTTTTGTTTATTTATTTTAGTGCTTTTTAAAACCTATAATAGAGGAGATTGTATTGTATCTTAAACTGCAGTGTAGGTCTTTAAAAATTATTAAAAATGTGAAAGTTCACTTTTATACCATTAAGTTATTGCACAATCTTAATTTACAGATGACAAACCACCATTTGTCATTTCTGACTCAATCCTTACTAAAATATTATTTTCATTCTTAACTATCTCTGTAAGTTAGTAATTAATTTCACCTCTTATAACTTTCATGTATGGTGGAGCATCTTCATTTTCAATTGATTTATCCACTATTAATATATCATCTCCTCTATATGTAACATATCTTAGATAAACAAAATCTCGAGGTAAATATAATAAACCATATGGTTTATGTCTTTCATATATTATTCCACAATTCTCACTTTACATAACATTTAACAATTTAGTTTCATTTGGATTTATTACAGCATTCCATTTTTTTACAAAATCTATCTCAGCTAAACATTAGAAAACCTTCTCGATGTCTCCATCAAATATGGTTAGTGTTGATCTAAAACAAAGTGGATTTCCTTAGTCCTTCAGTATTTGAACTCCATCTTTAGAAAAAACTTATGTGAATTATTTAGTTGATTAGTCAAAATAATCAGAATTAAATTTTCCCTCCTCAAATAAAACCTAATATACTTATGGATATTTCAATTCATTTTTAATTTCTTTTATTTCATTTGTCTATTGAATCAATGCCTATTATTATATTTTCTGTTATGATTCTTACTGTAGCAATTATTAATTTAACAATTCTTATTATTATCTTTGATGTTCAGCTCTCTACTATTATAGTAATTATTCTTATTATAATCTAAATTATTCCTCTTAAATTTTTTATTATTATTATAATAACTACTACTATTATTAATAATATTATTATTGTTATTATTATTCTTATAATTATTGTTATTATTATTATTATTATTATTATTATTATTATAATTATTGTTATTATTGTTATTATTATTGTTATTATTATTAATATTGTTATTATTATTATTGTTATGGTTATTACTGCTAATATTGTTGTTGTTAATTAGAGATAACAGATGACTATATTTATTATTATTAGATATATTAGGGCTACTGTTATTATTTGGCAAGAGATTCATCTTATAGTATTAATTAATTAGCATTGATTTGTTGCTAAGTATTTTAAGAAAGATTCAATTATTTTTATTGTTATTATTATATTTGGATTGCCTTAATATCAGATTCATTTATTTATTTAGTGATTTTTAGATTTGTAGTTTATTTTTGTGGAATAATTTCTGATTAAGTGACTAACCTCATATCTTATCTTGTTGTAATGAAAGATTACTGAGTAGTTTAGGTTCTGGGTTAATTATAATCATTAGATTCAAGTAATATACTTCCCCTCATAATATGATCTTTAAACTGAGATATTGTTTTAAGTGCCTAAATCACTTTGTCATAAAGTGTTTTATCATCTGATCCACAAACTAATGTTTTGTAATAGCCATGACCATCAGAATTGGCTATAATCACAAAGCGATAACGTTTATCTTTAAATTCTTATGGTTAAACAGTGTAGTATTCAAGGTATATAATTCTTGGTTTCTTTTTGCTATTCTTTTTTCTCAGAATTTCAAAGGTTCTTAATTTAGAATCAATCTTAAACTCTTTTTATTTCCAATTTTTGAACACTTTAGTTCTAACATCAATACTTCCTTTTATTTCTCCTATTGCTGTCGGAATCATGTTTGCCTAATATAAATAAAGTACATATTACATATGCATATCCTTTGATAATATCCATAAACATCTATTTTTATGCTTGCTTATTTAATTTCATCAAAGCTTGACACTCTTCAAGTTCTAAGGAATGAAAAACAGACGTGTCGATTTCTTAGCTATTAATACACTCTAAAAGAAGTTCAAGTTTATGAAACATTTTTATTGGTAACTTCTTTTACTCTTAGAGAAACTTAAATGAGTTTTCAGCTTCGTTTAAATCAAAATCCATAATATTATTATGATCAAAAATAGAGGTTCATCATCTAATAAAACAACCAATCCATTCGCTCTTTAAATGTAAGACGAAGCAAAAAAAATGGTAAGAATAACTATATCCTTAGGCAGATAAGTTAGCCAAACTTAAACAAAATTTGAATTCATAAAAAATGGAACGATCATAAATAAGCAAATAATCAGGAGATATGACAGAAAGCTCTAGATGGCAAAATAATACTACTAATAATAATCAAAGTAAATTCAACTATTAATCAAGTACTTAAGGATAGACCTCCTTCAAATAAGTCAGAACCTATTGAATCATTTTTGAAATCAATCAAATTAGATACTTATGTCTAAAAATTTAAAGAAAATGGATTTGAAGAGTTAGATATACTTTTTGATATTTAAAAAGAATAACTATAACAAATGGAAATACCATTAGGACATTAAATTCGATTAATGAAAAAAATTAGAGAACTTAAATAAACTACAGAAGTAAACGAAATAGATATTCAAAGTGAATCTAAATATGACTAATTAGAAGGTATAATAATTCAATTAAACTAGAACCATAAATTGATTTAAGTTTCACTAAACCCATCAAAAGATCTAATCTGCAAAAAGAAAGAAAATCAAGTGCTAAGAAAGTCACATTTCAATAAAATGATAAAAAAGATGATTATTCAAGCATCCAATAATCTTTACATTCATCATATCTCTTAAATTAACTAGAAGACATTTCTAATTATTTACATGAAAATCATATTGGAGAATAATCAGATATAAGCATACAATTCAATTCAGAATAAAATTAATAAGATAACAATAATTTTAGTTCAATATCGGTCTCTAAATAAAAACCTTATGATGAAAAGAATGTCGCCAATTTAAGAATTAAAAAGGTTGCTTGTTGGAATTGCTTTAAACTACTTGTCAAAGATTATCTTCTAATAGATAGTAACGAATTTTGCAATCAAGAATGTTATCGAAAATATAACCATTTATATCTTGTAAGCATTTAATTTTATTTAAGACTTAATGCGTAGGTTGTAATCAATAATTTGATATTAGAAATGGAATAATACTCAATGGATGTAGTTTTTGTAATCAGTAGTGTTCTTAGAAATATGATTTCTAAATTATGAAGGATAATAATGAGGAAATTCAAAAATAATTCTTAAATTTCAAAGGCAAAGAGTAATAAGAGCGATTCGAAATTTAAAATGGAGATGTTGATTTAAATTTTGATTGAATCATACTAAATTATAAAAGAATAATATTGTCATCATAGATTTCTTTTTTTATAATTCAAAATAGCTATAATTCTTTTGATTGTGCTGAGATTTTTTCTTATTTGAACAACTTAATTCATATTTATTTTATTCAAACTTTTTTGAAAATTGATTCAAATTATATATTTATAACATCTTTCTAAATAATATTTTTTAATTATTATTGAATCTGTATTTACTTGTTGTTATCAATATGTTATTTTTAGAATTATCTAAAACAGGAATATAAAATTTTTGGTTTTCCCTTTTTCAATTTTAGATAAAACCTCATTGACTAAACACACAAATGAATCATCAATTTCCTATATTAAAAAAAATAAGAAGGATTATGAATGAAAATGGATCTAAGTAGAAGCACAATGATTTTAACTCTAAGTAAAGAGTTAATTAATTTACATAAATTCAGTTTCTCTCACAATTTCCCATCTACTATTTCTATTTTTTAATTCTTTCAATTTATTACATTTATCTTCCAATTTTCAATATGGATGTTTGCGTACAGAATAATATTCAGAAACTAAAGGATTATATTTATTGCCCTTTAAGGTTCTAACAGCAACAGGTGATATACTTTTATCACATGTAACTTAAAATGATGGTATATTGAAGAAAGATTAATCGATTTAAAGAATAGGATAACGTGTTTGCATATATTTATAATATTAATCATGACTTTGGTTATTCATTTAATGTTTCCAACAATGCTAAATTTAATATTATAAGTTTACAATTAACAATTTAGGTATATGTTTAAGCAGCAATAGAGTCAG